GTAACGAGGATTAAATGACGGAAAGTTTTGTCCAGGAAGTATCCAGCCACACACTATGAAAAATAGACATTTATTGAAGAAGATACAAGATACAGGAAACAATGCGGATAGGACAATGACGCCTCAGTTCCCTTCAAAGCAGGCACCTTGGGACCTCACACAATTTCCCAGTAGTTTTTGGAGTCCCCAGATCATCAGCCTCTAGTTCTCACTGTCAGTCCCTGATCTTTGTTGATTGCAGCCCATACACATTTAACATTCTCAGGTTAACATTGTTGCAGGCCTTCCAGAACATGGATCACTTCCAATGGATTCTCAACCATCTTTGAAGCATTTGTGCCACACTTTTATTTGCGCTGCACTCATTGCGTCGTCCCCAAAAGCCTTCTGAATCATCCACATAGTTTCTGCGGAGTAATGTTCAAGCTTATCGCAAAATTTGATGCAGACTCATTGCTCTGCTCATTCAGTCATTTTGAATGCAACAGCCACACAGTACACATGCTCACCCTATGGCATCTACCACATCCACTAACTGGTATAGTGAAGTTGTCTTTGTTCAGACATGCACATTCCAGTCCACTCTCCTTGGCTGCCCGGTTGCATCAACTTCCCACAAACTGTTCTCGTTATATTAACAATGACTGGACTTTTTCGGACAGACCTCGCATATATAAAGGACCGACCTAGCCCAGTGCCCAGCAGAGAGTAAATGCTCCATATATTTCACCCTTAGTCAATTTCTTTGACTTATGTATTCATCCATTTACTCACTTCTCAATTCATCCCCTCTAAAGCATGTAGTGTCTACTGTATTTGGGACACTATGGCAGACAGGTGATGATGCAAAGACAGATGATAGGAAGGATATGTCTAAAAATAGTGTGGTAAGACTAAGGATACACCCAGTGAGGGGAGAGGGGAGATTGATTTGCATGAGGCAAAAGAGCACGTTTTTGGGTTATAAAAATGGTCTATGTCTGAATTGTAGTGTGCATATATTATAACATTTTCATGAACTCATAGAAATGTGTATGTTCAACTGGTACATTTTACTGCATATAAATTCTAATTCAATAAAGTTGATTTTTTTTTTAAAACACCCAATGGGAATTTACTGAATGAGCAAAGGGATGCATAATGGATGAATGAATGAGCGTGTGAATGAACGTCTCATTTGATTGCCCTCCTATCCTGGTGCCACCGTTGTCCCTGCTGAGAGCGCCCCTGCCCAATTCTCCCTAGAGGTGGGATTTGGAATGCTCCCCCCTACCCTGTCTCCCCATCACCGCCACCGGGGCCAGGGAAAGATGCCCTAGTGTGATCATCTAGAGTTCCCAGCTTCTCTAAGTTTGCTTCCAGGGCTTCCTGCTGCCACATGCCAACCCGGCCAGCTCGATTCTACTCAGCGATGCCAAGGTCATGGATGTGATACCTAACTAGACTCCCAGGGCCAGCCATGCAGCCGCCCAAACCCGAGCCGACTCCGCCACCTGCTGGCCCTTTTTGGGCTGCACCCCTAGAGCTCCATGGTAGCCAGAACTCTCCTTGAAGCTTGCCAGGAGTCTTGCACTCCACTGGGGCTTTTGTGTGTGCGTGTTTGTGCAACTGAGTTGGCTCTGACTCCTGGTGACCCTGTGAATGAGTGACGTCCACAATGTCCTGTTCTCAATAGCCCTGCTCAGCTCCCGTAGACTCATGCCTGTGGTTTTTTTTGTTGTTTTTTTAATGGAGTTAGTACATCTCATATTTGGTCTTCCTCTTTTCCTGGTGCTACCTATTAACTTCTTATTGAATTGTCACAGCTACAAATGAAGGGGGCTTTGAAACACAGGGAAACAGGGGCCTAGAGAGGCTAAGAAATTTGCCCAAGATCAAACAGTAAGTTATAGACCTAAGATTCTTGCTCAGGTCATCCCAGCTCCCCAGTTTATATTCCGTCCACCAAACTATATCTCGCTTCGAGGGAAGGATGGAATATTCCCGATTGCCCACTCTCTCCACCTCCCAGAAAGAGGGCAAAGGCCTCACATCACCCTCCCTAATTCACCTTCCAGATGCAGTGAATGTAGTCCCTCTTGTATGCCAGGGACTGTGGGAAGCACCAGGCAGTGATGTGAAGAGAAATTGTGTGCTCAAAATAGTGTGCTCAGACCTATGGTACATTAATAGACGCCCTGCGATAAATATTTTTTTGTTAGTCCAGATAGAAAGACCCATAGCTCAATTGGAGTTGTGTCAAACAAGGTCTTGAATTTGTTCCTTGGACCCAATCACTGTGCTTCTAACTCAAGAATAATACCGGAAGAGTAGCATATTATTTTTACATCTCATTTGCATATGATTAATTCTGAGAGAATGGAGGTCACCCTGTCCCCTTGCTTCTCAGGCCCTCTGGGAAGTGTCTGACCCTGGTGGCCTCCCCTGGCTGCCCCCCATCCTCACCAGCCCCTCCCCACTCCTTGCCCCTGCCCACACCTCCTTCAACTCCCAGAAGTCCTGTTCCCTTCCTCCTCTGTCACCCACGCAGCCCCCGCCACTTGGCCACCCACCTGAAAAACTTTTCCCTAAGTTCTTGAGAAGTTGCGTAGGATCCAGGAGAGAAAAATCAAAGTAATAAAACCTCATTTAATTCCTAACGGAGGGCAGAGCTGTGAGCTGCAATTATCTTAATGCTGAGCTATTTTTGTTCTCTCTCCATCTCCGTCTTCTGCCTCTCTCAGTCGGTCGTGACGCTTCTCTCTCTCTCCCTTTGTCTCTCCATCTCTCACACGTGTTTTCTCTGTCTCTTTTCTGTTTTTTTCTACCTCCCCTTCTCTCTCTCACCTCCTGTCTCTGTCATCTTTCCTTCCCTTCCACCTCCTTCCTGTCTGTCCCTGGTACTTGGACCTCTGTTGGTCAGTTTTGCGCACCCCTCTTAACCCCAGGATTCAGAAGCCAGTGCTGCGGGTGCCAGAAAGGCTGAGGGAAGAGAGTAAAAACCTTACCCTCCACCTGGAACTGTCCATCTTCCAGGCCTGGCTGTGAGGGAAGTCTCCCTTCCCAGCTGCCCCAGCCTGGACCAGGGGCTTTTCCCCGATTCAGGGCTTCCCAGAGCTCTCATCCTTTTGGCAGAACCTCTATAAACAAGTCCTCCCCCGCCAAATGAGCCTCAGACACTGTGGTTCCAGGGCCATCTCATCTCTGATGGGCTTTGACGTGCAACTAGGGGGTGAATCCTCCTTGTCGCTGACCTCTCATTACCTACCCAGCTGTCCTCTGTCCCCTCCATTTCACCCCAGGACCCTCCCACTCTCCAGCATTGAAAGCCACAGGTCCCTCACCCTCACCTTGCCCCAGTGGCCACTCAGATTACAGCCGGGCAGGGGCTTTCCCATGCTCCTTTTGACTTTCAGAACCTCCTTATTTACCCTCCTAAGGCACTGCCAAACTGGCCTTTGCCACTCCCTACCACACCCCATCTAAAAGAGGGGTCTGGGCCAAGCAAGGAGCTGCCCACACCCCAGGGCCAGCACTCTGGCATCCGGCTATTTCCCGACAAGCATATAAGTCAACAAACATTCCCGGACTTGAGCCAGGACTGGGGTTGGGGGGTGTGGGGCTGAGAAGCCGGGGCTTTCAGCTGCCATGAGCGCAGTTCTGCCTTCCTGCCGCCCTCTTCCTCAGCCCCAGAGTGAACACTGACTCTGGGGCACAGCACCACGCCCCTGAACCCCATTTCTGCAGGAGCACTCTGGCTTTCTGCTCCCCCCTGGCCCCCGCAACTGCTCTGCCAAGGATGGGACATGCTGGGGCTAGAGTGGAAAAGTTGCAGGAGCTGGGGGGAGAGCTCCTAGCTGATCCAGGCCTGAGTGTAACCAGGAGAGAATACAGCCAACACGAACAGAGCCCCAGGAAGACACACACACGGGTACGCCTCTGCACACGCACCCTGTCAGTGCTACGAGAGGCATCCAGACCCTCTCCCCTAGGCCCGCAGCGGGCCACACGGCCCCTGCAGAGACCCAGGGCCTGGGCAGGTAAACAGGGGCAACCCAACCCACAGGGCCAGAGCCTCGCCTTTCTCCCCTCCGGAGACACACGCAAACACCTCTGCAGAGGGAGGCTCACAGCTCTCCCCTCAGCTCTGTTCTGGGATGCACCAAACTTGCACACGTGATGGCACGTGAGCTGGTACAGGCAGCCCCCAGCCCCCTGTCCTCCTGCACCCGTTCTGTCCCTGTCCTGCTAGGTCCAGGGAGAAGGGCAGGAGACATGTGAGTCCAACATGCATCGTCCAGTGTACCTCGTTCAGGACCACGGCCTTATCCCCCTCTACTGCACAGGCTAGAGCTGAGGATACAGGATTCCCACCCTCGCAAGCTGGCACACCCATGCTCATCACCTTGACAGCCTCTGACAGCCTCCCCCACACCCACACCCTCCCTCAGACGCACATAGTCCTCCCACACCCTGCCACTCACACTGCATCCTTGACACTCTGACACACTTACTCACATGCACTTTTACCACACCGACCGCCCCCCCCACTTCCCCAGCTATAGGCACCACAGGGCTGCTGGCATGCACTCACACACACGCACTCCCTGCCTCCATGACTGACACGTGTCCTCCCACGCACAGCCCGCTCTGGAGCGTTCATTCGCTTTCCAGGACACCCCCATTCACAGCGTGACATGCTGGTGGCACTCTCTTCACGACCTCATAGGTCTCCCCATGAAATTCCACGTACCCCGGTCATGAAGGGGTTAAAGCCAGAGTCCCCTCTGCCCCTCTTCCCCGCCCCCTCAGCCTCCCAACGTTATCCTCCCTGCTGGACTCCATCAATAATGCAGCTTCAAGTTCTGGGGTGACAGTAGGGGGCCCCCAGCCTGCTGCCCGGGCCCTGGCTCACTCTCCCACCCATCCCCCTGTCTCCCCCCGCCTCCAGGGAGAGCACGCTTCTCGGTGCTCATTGGCCACTTTCTCCCTGAGCCCTCCCATCAAGCCTCTGGGCGCCAGTCCCAGGTGAGGGGACGGGCTGGGGACCTCGAGGCCGGGGCCAGAGGGGTGAGTTCGGGAGAGAGGGAGATAGCCCGAGATTAAGGGAACGCAGAGGAGAGGGAGGTAGAGGAAGCGCGGAGAGACAGACGCTCCGAGAGAGCGAGCGAAGAGGGGGAGCGGCAGAAACAGCGACCAGCGAGCCGGGCAGCCCGCGGGGGGAAACGCTAGGGGACCGAGGCGCGGACTGAGCGCGGCGGGCGAGCCCGGGGACTGGCGGGTCAGGCCAGGCGGTGGCGACCCCGTCCTCCCGCGCGTTCCCCTCCCCGCACGCGGTATTTTTATCGGTGCGCGCACAGCCCTCCTGCTCCTCGCCACTCTCACCCGCGGCGCCAGGAGCAGCGCGGGCGAGCTGAGCTGGGAGCGCAGCCCGGGACCCCGACACGCGCAGCCCAGCCCCACCGCCCACCCCGCCCGCCATGGACCCCAAGGACCGCAAGAAGATCCAGTTCTCCGTGCCCGCGCCCCCCAGCCAGCTGGACCCCCGCCAGGTGGAGATGGTAAGGGGGCCGTGTCCCACCCCCGGCAGCTCCCCATGCACCCGGGGCTCCCAGGCGCTCTGGGCGCTGCCGGGTCCGCGCTGGCCTGAGGGATGGGGGGCGACGCAGAGTTTCGACCCGGCAGAGGCACCAGGCAGCGCCTGAAGTTCGCTGGAGACTCGTGCAACTTTTTCCCAGGGCCTCCGTCCTGATCCCCGCGCCGGTGAAACCCGGGCGGTGAGCTCTGAGCGTCCGGGCAGACCATTCCAGGCCACACTGGGAGGGGGAACTGTCCTCTGGACCCTGCACAGTGTCCTCCTTCCCTAGGCCACCACCGGGACGCTGTGTCCCGGACCCAGGCAGCGCTGGTCGGATGTGAGAAACCTCATCCCTTGACCCACTATGCGGAGCCCGGCCCCCAACTCCTCTCTCCTCCAAGGCCCTGGCCCCCTAGTCCCACCCTGTCTGCGGGGGCTGGGGTCACCAGAGCCTTGTTGTGACCTCCTCCTGCAGTCAGGCCCTAGACAGAGCCACAACATTGTGGGGCGGTGTGGGTGACCAGTCATCACAGAAGGCAGCCCTGTTCACAGGGACAACTGAGGTCTCTGGGAGAGCCTTCCTGGTGGCTGAGAGGCCTCCAAAATGGGGAGGAGGTGGAAGGAGGGAGAGGAGAAGAGGGCCCCGCCCCCCACCACCTAGACCGATTCACTTGTTGCGAGGCTCAGTGGGCTCCCAGCTGAGCAGTGAGAGTGGGGCCAAGGCTGGCGCTGGGGGGTGGGGCCGGAGACAGGGGACCTTGGGGGCGAGTTGGGTCTAAGGCCTAAGCCGCTTTTGGCCTGACCCACAGTGTTGGGAGCTTGGCAGGGGGAGGTGGCAGTTTCAGCTTAAATCACCTGGTTCTCTTTGTGCATTTCCCTGGAGCTCAGAGGGGACCTAATTAACTGACAGCTGGTCTGATTGCCAAGCTTGGGGGGGGGGGGTGTACAGTTACTGAGAGCGTTCTGTGCCCCCTCCACCCCACACCCTTACAATTCAGCATGGCCCATGTACCAAGGAGGGCAACTTTACATTTTTTACGCAAGGACTGGGCTAAGAGTTCCGCAGCCTGAGAGAGACTGCTGGAGGGGCCCAGATCCAGTCCCCCAGAGATGCCCTCCTCGGCCCTTGTGAGCCTGCGGCTCAGGCCCACACCTGAGCCTCTCTGTGAGGTCGGAGGTGCCTGCAGTGCCCCGGCTCAGCCTCTGCAGCTGGATCCAGTTTCTCTGGAGCCCTTGAGCTGACCTTAGGTGGGCAGGGCCACGTGGGTGCCATGGCCCATGGGCACCTTCCACGGCCAGCTTCAGCTCCCAGGTCTGATGTCTTCAAAAAACAGGAGAGGAGGGGCCATGCTAGGGGACCATAGAAAGGGAGATGCCAGTTGTGGGTGAGCTGTGGAGCGGGATGGGCAGGCGCCTGGGGCTCTGTGGCCTTGAGCACTGTGCCGAGCCTCTCTGCGCCTTGGGTTTTTACCTGAGTAAAATGAGGGGATTGGGAGAGCTATCAAGTTCCTTTTAGTTGACAGTCTTTGATTCAAAGGTTCCCTGGAGACTCCAAAGCACTGTTTGTTCCCTGCTGCCTGGGGGTGGCAGTGGGGGGGCTGCAGGTGCCTGTCCCCCCATCTCCCCGCCTCTGTCTTCATCTCCTTAGATCCGGCGCAGAAGGCCAACCCCTGCCATGCTCTTCCGGCTCTCGGAGCACTCCTCACCAGGTGGGCCCTTCCCGGCAACTGGCCGGCCCTGGCCCCACCCTAACTCTGATGGCTTCTTGGGGCCCTTGCCAAAGTCCCAAGAGTAGAAGATGGAGCAGAAGGGGGGGCGGGGAGCGGGTAAGGTCCGGGAGCCCAACGCTCTAAGTTCATTTGTTAAGAGGCACCTCCCAGTACTAGGAAGGAAAGGGCACGCTTCCCCTTTCCCCGGAGATGGACCAACTGGGGAAAGTAATTCGGATTCTCTTTCTCTCTTCCTCCTCTTTCTCCTTCTTCTCCGTTCCTCTCTGGGTTCCCTGATGGCCTCGCTCAGAGGAGGAGGCCTCCCCCCACCAGGTGAGTTTCCAGGGGCTGCTGGCAGGAGGGATGCAGTGGGTTGCCTGGGATTACTTCCCAGCTAACAGAGGCTGCCACCTGGGAGGACACATTAGCATATCAGTCGGCACCTCTGGTGAGAGTGCCTGGTGTCAGGGTGTCACAGACAGATCCTTCTCTGCTCACCCTTGTCTTTGCTCAGACTGGGCTGAGGCCTCTAGAACCTAGGGTCCCTGCCCTGAGCCAGGCCACAGCAATAGGGTGGCCTCAATCTGGTGCGGGACCTGAGGGGTGGGGACACCTAGACCCGTTACAGAGGCTAGACCAGTCTGCCCAGGTCGCTAGACCATACTGACCAGTACGCCAGGTTGCTGGGGTGCAATGGAGGAGGGGAAGGGGTAGGGGCCTGTAGTGAGCCCATTTAACCCGGCGTTTTCCCTGGCAGAGAGCGTCGGGAGAGGGGCACCACCTCAAGTCGAAGAGACCCAACCCCTGTGCCTACACACCCCCCTCACTGAAAGGTACCATCCCTCACCCGACAGTCTGGCTGTCCCTGTGACATTGGGGGAGGGAGGTGAAGTGTTGAGCTTTTGTCAGTGGGGAGGGATTGTCTTGTGTCCCCTAAACCCCTACTTAGAGACCAATTCGGTCCTAATTTTATCTTATGAAGACGAAGGTGCCCAGAGGCTGGTGGGGGGGTGGCTATGCATTCGAAGGAAAAGAGTGGCTGGCCTGAAATAGCAAGTAGGCATCCATACAAGACTTAGCTCTGCACTTCCCCTTCCAAGTGCAGCTGGAACACCTCCCGCTCCCCACGGCCCGAAAGGTACCTTCTTCTCTAGGCTGCTCCCCTTGCTCTCCTCTCCATTCACATGGCATTTGCACAGGTCTGCACACTGGGTGCTGCTTCTCCCTGCTTTTCCTTCCTGCCTTAAAAGGCAACGTGTAGTGTGTGCTGGGCCTTACTGGTGGGCACTGGGAAAAATAAGGGAGTGAGATGTGGCCCCTCTCCTCTTGGGACCCTTTCCTCAAAGGGTCAGGCAGAGTTATAGAAGAGAGGATGTTTAAGCCTGGATTTGAAGGGTGAATAGGAATTCAACTGGCAGGCGAGACTGCAAGAGCATTCCAGGAAGAAGGAAGAAGGTGTGCAAAGTGGAGGCGGGGTGGAAGCACTGGGGTCTTCGCGGCCAGCCTGCAGGCTTGGCTGGGAGCGGGGCCCTGTGCGAGACACGCCTGGAAGAGGAGTAGGGGGTGGGTCTCTTCCTGACTAAGCCTCAGGATGCCTTTAGACCCTCACCTCAACATCAGCCTGAGGCTCTTCCTGCCTAGCCAGCCCCCTCCTCCCACAGAGAGAGGGAGGGAGACCGGAAGCGTGCACTGAGAGCTCCCTCCTGGTGGGTTTAATGAGTTCCCAGCACCAGCCAAGGTCAACAGGTGCACCTGTCAGCCTGTTTTCCAGGGCTGGGAGCAAGAGGAGAGATGCGCGGGGGCCCTTTCTCTTCCCCCGGGAGGGGAAGATGAAGGCACAGCAAACAGGCAGTGTGGTCAGCGCCTGGAAGGATTTCCCACCTGTAGGGATGTGGGGAAGGCCCACGCCTGAAGCAGTCATGGGGGCGGGGCGGGAATGGCATCTTCTCAAAAGAGAAAGTAAGAAAGCTCTCCTTACCCTGGGCTGTGGGGGTGGTGAGTGGATGTGAGGAAAAACCATCTCCTGGGCTCTGGACTGTGAGCATGGGGCAGAGGGGACGTGAAGAGGGTAGGGCCGAGGCCTTCTGGGCACCTGCAATGACCAGAAACGTGTCCCAGCCCCACTGCCCCTTTGGGCTGCGCAGGAGGAGAGCCTGAGCAGAAGCAGGGTAGTGGGGGGGCCGGGACAGGGGTGGGCAGGTGGGGGGCTGGGGCTGTGCCGGGGACCATTGAGCTTAACAAGGGAGACCGCGGTGGGAGGGTAGTTCAGATGGAGGCAGAGAGAGAGGAGACAGCTGGGAGGGAAAGGGGGAGACCCCAGAGAGCCCTGGGAGGCGCGAGGCCCTGCGCACGAGGGAGGCTCATGGCGCCGGCACAGGCCCTGCACACACCTATTGTTGTCACCGCAGCTCACGAACTGAGCTCTCCTCCTCCAGCTGGGGGAGAGGGCGGCTGCTGGAGCTGCCACCTCCTCTCCTCCCTTCTCCCCTCCCTCCAACCCTCAGAAGACACTTCTGTACCTGAAGGGCACAATTTTGTAGGCCTCAATCCCTTTCTGGGCAAGTGAAGGCACTTGGCAGGGTCACGGTTTGTAGGGGAAGAGACCAAGGGCCCCTGGGGGCGATGGACAGCATTGAGTCTTGGCTTCAGGGGGTCTCTCCCGGGCAGAGCTCTCCTGCCTGGCTCACGGTGAAGCTTTGCCGAGTCCCCAAGGCCAGGGCGGGGCGATTTATTGTGCTTTTATTGCTTGGGTAGCTTGCCCAGAGCCAGCGGGAGGCACTGGGCTGGGAGCTCGGGGCAGGGCGGGGCAGCGGGCACAAACAATGCACCCTCTGTGCCTGTCCCTGAGTTGGCAGGAGTGCGGCGCCCTGCTCTCTGCACCGGAGGTTTCCAGCCTGGATCTACCTCTCTGGGCTTTCTCAGGGGAGGGGCTCCTGCAGACCAAGATGGAGCTGCAGCGACCCCAGCCCTGAACTCATCAGCATCTTGTCTGTGGGCTGTGAGTTTAGTGACCCAAATGCTCTAAAGCCCCACCAGCTCCTAGCCCCCCTGCTGCCTCTGCCCCAGCCACTCCTCACAGTGTCTCCTCAGCTCCTGCTGTTCTCCCAGAATCCCCCAGCCCTGGCCCCTTTCTCCGAACCGCCTGGTCCTTTCCATCTTTTGGAAATTTCTCTCCAGCTGCCCACACAGTTCCCTTCCTAGGCCCTATCCCAGCAGGCCTTGGTGGTGTTGGGGGGGTGGGTGGTGGTTGCTGCTTTCTAGGTCACCACAGAGGGAGCTGGAAGCTTGGGGATGTGGGTCAAGATTGTGGGGGCCGTGTTGAGCACACCACATCCCCAGACACAGACTTCATTGGCTGCAGACTATTATGTCCTCGGTCTCAGAATCGTTCCTACCTCTTAGAGACTGGGGCAGAGGTGCATGGAGCGGCACCAATGATGGGGCAGTGCCAGGTGTCTACCAAGCCCAGCAATAGGGGTGGGCAGGATTGGGGTGAGCAGTGAGCCCTAAGCCGGCTGGGCACTCCCCCAGAAATTGACGGGGACAGATCCCCTGGGCCCTGGCCTAGGGGCCCTGTGCCTTCTGCCCGGGGCGGTAGCTGGTGGACACTGTGTCCAGTGCTAGGTCCTTGGAAAAGCAAGCTTCCCAGCCAGGGAATGTTAAGCTGCTGTTGTGCTCGCCTGGTCTTGTCCAGCTTGGTACCCTATGGCCTGGTGCCAGCCTCTGGGGGGCCAGCATCTTTGGACAGCTTAAGAGCCAGATACGATCAGGAGTCAACCCCCTGCTGCTTCAGCCCCGCTCTGGCCTGTAGCCTTCAGCTCTTGAACCAGCTCCCTGAGGGGATAAACTCTGCCTTCGGCCCACCGAAGGAGGCTGGGGGCTGGGCCACATGCCTCTCCAGCTGCAGGGGTGTTTCTTGCGCCTGGCTGACCCTGTCTTCTTGGGTGGCCCTGTGGCAGCCGTGCAGCGCATTGCCGAGTCTCACCTGCAGTCCATCGGCAACCTGAGTGAGAACCAGGCCTCAGAGGAGGAGGATGAGCTTGGGGAGCTGCGGGAGCTGGGCTACCCAAGAGAGGAAGAAGAGGAGGATGATGATGAAGAGGAGGAGGAGGAGGAGGAGGACAGCCAGGCTGAAGTCCTGAAGAGCAGCAGGGGGTGTGGTAAGCTGAAGGGGCCGTGAAGCCTGGGTCCTACCCCCATGGGTCAGGTGGAGTCCCCCTCAAGTGTCCTGGGACATCCCCTCCCAGTTCACAGTTTCTCACACGCGTGCACTGCAATCATACTACAAGGGCCTCTCCCCATCCTCTCACCCCACAGGATGCCTCACAGCTTTACGTAACACCGAGGCTGCTCCCGTCCTTGACTCAGGCCCTCTCCCAGTCAGGTTTTTCCTAATAATTCCTGCCTTCCATAAGAATTTTGCAGCTGGACCCAAGGAAGGACTCCCATTCATGGCGGTGAGAGGGTGCAAGAAGATGCAGGCGTAGAGGACGAAGAGTGTCCAATGTCCTCATCGCTTGCACTTCTGAACCTAGGGTACGGCCTCTGTTGGGAGGCAGAGGATGCCGGCTGATAAGTCTTCAGGACCCTTGGGACTTTCTCTTTTATTTCCTAGGCTGAGATGAGAGGGTGCCCTCTAGTGTCAAGATGGAGAATCTAGGATTCAAGAACCAATCTGGTCCTCTGCACCTCTAACGCCACCTACCTGGGAAGAGATGGGGAGGGAGGGGCCTTAGACTTACACAGAGGGCCTCAGAGCGTGAGGCAGATCTAACAATCTCCGTGGAGGGTCCCAAGGCCTAGAGGATTTCTAGGCGGGAAGGTCTCAGACCTCCATGGCTGCTGGTCCCATGCTTAGCCATGGAAGATTTCACCACACCTATTCCTCCTAGTGCACATGAAACTTTATGATCCCATTATTTGTGGAATTGAAAACAATTGACTAACCTACCTGATGTGTCCAGCCTTTATGTCCCCCCAAAATGGCTTGGGCCTCTTTGCTGCATCTCTGGCCATCAGGACATCAGCCATGGGAGCAAAAGCTCTAGCTGGAAGAGTTGTCAATTCCCACTAAGACGCCCCCCAAGAACAGGTAGAGAGGAGGTGAGAGGAGACTGTTCCCTTGGGAAAAGCAACAGGGCAGTGGATCAAATGACAAGACTACTAAGTGGCTATATCAGTTGCCACTACTCCCAGAGGAGCTCCTGGGTGCCAGCATGGGGGTAGGCAGTGTATTAACTATTATTTAAGGTAATCTACACAATTTCTTACTGTCCCCTTCAGAGAGGTAATAAACTGAATAATCTAAGTCATATGGCTAGTCATTGGCAGAGCTGTCCTAGTCCAGTGCTCTCTCCACTATACCATCATGGCCTCACAAAGCTTGACCTCGGCCATCAGACACTCAGCTCATGATCCAGGATAGTCAGAGGGACACTCAGAGTCTGTGGTTTCATCTTTTTCTCCCTGTCCCCAGTTGGGCAGAAGACAACTTACGGCCAGGGTCTGGAGGGGCCCTGGGAGCGTCCACCCCCTCTGGATGAGCCCCAGAGAGATGGAAGCTCTGAGGACCAAGTGGAAGACCCCGCACTAAGCGGTGAGGCTTGGCAGGGAGATGGAGCCGGGATCTTGGTAGGGATGCTCAGGCCCTGAATCCCTCTTTTTGTCTTGCAGAACCTGGAGAGGACCCACAGCGCCCTGCCCACCCTGTGCCTGGCACATAGGCACTCAGTGGAGGGGGCATCACTGTTTCCCAGAAACCTGCTCAGTCCCCACCCTATTTTCTACCCTTCCCCTCACTTGCTAGGGCTGCGGCTTCTGACTTCCAGAAGACTAAAACTGGTCTTTGCTTGTTTGCCCACCTTTGGCTGATGCCCAGAGTCCTGGGCACTTGCTGCCTGATACCTACCTCTGCCAGTCATTCCCCTATTCACCCAGTGGGAGGCAGGATATGAAAGCTTGTTTGGAAAATGTAGTAATTGAAGGACAAATGTTCAACCTTCACAATTCCATTCCTAGACCCTCTCTCTTGGGCACAGGAAAACCACAGGGCAGGACCCTAAGATAGGAGGAAAGGGGATACAGAGAACCTGTAGGTGCCCTAGATCCTTCTCCATCCCCTCTCCTCCTAGGGGGGATTCCCAGCCACTACTCCTCTTACTGGCTTCTACCAGGGCCAAGGATTCGGGCATCCTTCTCCACAGCTTCTGCATTTTGGAAATCTTCCCCAGTCACCCCTGCTCCCCAGCCTGGGTGCCTGGAAGATGGACTGGCAGAGGATGCTTTGTTGCATTTTGTTTGTGCTTTGATGCCAGGAATGCCACCTAGCATACATCCTTAGAGGGGGTACATGTTGAGGGGAGCCAGGTTCTTGTCCTCCAGCTGCTCTGCCCCCTTCCCCTCTTCCCTGACTCCAGACCTGAACCGCTCCTGTGCTGTAATAAATCTTTGTAAATAACTGTGGCGAGACTCCTTTTTTTCAGGGAAAATGAAAGGGAGGAGGAAGTAACAGGTTCTTCCTCCCCACCCATGTGGGAGACCTGGTTGGTGGTCATTCAAGGGTCAAAGCCTTGGCTCTAGTGTCCAGTTCTCTAGCCTAGGAGTCTTTCCTGCAGATAGCAAGCTCAGGGTACCCTTAGGAAGGACCACAAAAGTTCTAGATCCTGCTGAGGAGGGCTGAAAGCCGCTGGGAGGACCGAGAACACAAGTGCTTCAAGAGTAATTAGGGATTCCTCCAAATCCTGTCCCCCCCATACCCCTCGCCCCGGCACCACAGGCCTCCTCTCAGGCAATTCTATTCTGCCAGACCTATGTGGCCCAATCAAGATGATGCTTTGGAGATTCTTTACCATTCCCCAACTCTTAGGAAGACTAGATACCTAACCTAAGCGCCAGCGCCCATTCCCGACCCCTGAAAGTGGGACCCCTGAAAGTGGGCTGGAGGCCTTGGAGGCAGAAGCGGAGGCGGAGAAGGGCGGGGCTTCAGCCCTACGCACGTCCCTCATCGCTCTCCGGGGCGGACTCAGCGGCGGAAGTGGCTCCGCCGCAAGATCCCCTTCCGCTCGGAGGCGCTGCCGGGGCAGCGGCGCAGACTGCGGCTGGGGCAGAAGATTCTGGCCTGTGGCTGACATGCAGCAGGTGGGTCCAACAGAGGTCGCCGGGACCGGGTGGTGCTACGAGGGTTGTGTCTTGCTATCGGATCCCGCCTTCTCACCTGGTGTCCGTTCTTGGTTCCGTCCGACCCTTCCCACACCCACTGCGTCCCAGGTTCCGCCCCCTTCCTCTGCTCCGCCTCGCTCTGTCACGCGCCAAATAGGGGGTCTCTGACCCTCCGCGGCCCGCCCATCCGAGAGGGCGCCGAGTCGCCCTCCTGAGCCTATCTGTTCACTGTGAGGGGACAGGCGAGGGGGGAAGGTTTCTGAGTATTACGGGCAGGAGTTGGACATGGGGAGGGGGTCATGGTTTCCTATTGATGGGGGTAAATCTACGCGTTTCGGTAGATCTGCGTCTCTTTGACATCCGGTCTCCCTCAACTTCCTTTGGAATGACTTTGTAATCGACATAAAAATGGCCCTTTAAAGAAGTTCTTAGAAGTGCATAACACCAGTGACACTCATTCCTGACATAATTGACACCTGCCCTTCTCCCATTTTTTTGGGGGGGGGGGGTGTTCCTCCGCGTCAGCATCTTCTTATTTTCTTTTTACTGCTCTAACAGTGTAAGTGTTTCACATTCTCCTCTGCTCCAGCCCCTCACTCCGTACACTGAATCTGGATGGTCTCATCTATTCCCTGGGTTTCAGCTTTACATCACTGAAATACCCTAAACGCTCCCAGCTCTACAACTTAAGCCCAGCCCCTCCCTGGAGCCCCAGATTTGGCCATCCAGCTGCCCTCCAATTGGACAGCTCCACTTCAGACGGAGCTGACCGTGTTTGAACTTGAACAGGTCTTTTCCCCCACAGACTCTCTATCCCTGCCACACCCCATCCTAGAGAAAAAACCGGGCATTGTCTTTCAGTTTCTCTTCTCCCTCAATTCCCACATCTAAGAGGAGATCTAACTTCCTTCTTTTCTCTTACCACCTTTGTTGACGTGTTTCTCACCAGATGATTGCAGATGCTTCCTGCAACTTCTGACCCTGGCTGCTTGCACTCAGACTCCGAACTGTAACTCTTGTGATCCTTTTAAAAAGGTCTCATAGTGTCACTGTCTTGCTTAAAACCCTTTGATGGCTTTCCATCGCCACCTGTGGCAAAGACTGAATTCCTAGCACAATTTATGTGATCTGAATCTCTCTGATCTGAGTCTCCTGTGTGCATCCTCAGGCGCAGTACTACTGCAGGGGCACTTTGCTATTTTGTTTCTATACCTTTGCACACACTGGCCTCTCTACCTAGAAAGGCCCTTCTCCTCTTATCTGCCAGGCTACCTTCTGCTTGTCCTTCAGCCTGCTCTACTCAGATAGCAGGGACTCAGGATCACCTTTCCCCCAACCCCCAAGGCTAAATACTGCTCTTCTCTGTCCCTGCGGCTCCTCATCCATAATAGCATAGTGGTTGAAAATGTAGGCTCCTGAATCAAGCTCTCTGGGTTCTCATACTCTTTTGTGACCTTGATGAAGTCAGTGCCTCAGTTTCCTAATTTGTAAAACAAAGATAGTCATGTGCCTACCTTACAGACTTATTGTGAAGATGAAGTGAAATAATGTATATATAGGGCTTAAAACAGTGAGCATATGAGTGCTCAATAAATAAATGTTATCTATTCTTGTTTATATAAGAACAATATAGAGCAGTGGTTATAACTTTTAATTTCATGAGGTGCTTAAGGACAGTTGATGTGGTTTCCTTATTCTGTCCCAGAGTCTTAAAGCCTGGCTTTTTGTCAGTAAGTAAAATGCTGTGGTGGAGGGCACTGGGGGCAGGATCTGGATTTACTGAGTGAGGATTTAAGAGTGAAAAAGACCCAGACCTGACGTCTGCTCAGTAAATGAATTTGGAAATGGGGAAATGTTACATGACAAACATTAATTCTAGAGAAATGTGTACAGAACCCGAGGGGGAGAAAGGCCAAGGGTGGCTTCCCAGAACTACTGACAATTAACGAGGGAGCCTTAGCACAAGAAGATGAGTTTACCAGAGGGAGGTGGACTTAGAGAATGGAGAGTTGGCTTCCCTGGACTGAGCTTTTGTCGGGGGCGGGCGGTGGGGAGGCGTGCTGAGGTGGGCAGGAGGGCAGAGGCGGCCTCCTCTGCTGAGACTGGGGATTCCTTTCCTCACTTGGCCATGAGGAAGTGCCCGTTGGGTTAAGAGCCTGCAGGGACCATGTCCTGCAGTGGTCGAGAGGCCTGGTATCAGGTGTTTGGGGACAAGTCCCCTTGGGTAGGTCCAGCCTGTGGGCTGAGTGTGTGCAGAGGCTGGGCATTTGCTCACGCTGTTTGCCTGCCTGGAATGCTCATCCTGCTTGCCTCCAGGGGTAGATGCACAGAATCTTCAAGGCCTAAGTCAGACCGGCTCCTCCTCCACATGGCTTTCCTAACCTTGTGTACTCCATCCTGGGTTAGATGCTTCTTCTCTGGGAACCCACAGTCCTTTTTGTTCATTCCTCCCTGAAAGCGGTGATCACAACGTAGCACCGTTTATTATTTATCTGTCAGCCTCCCTTACCAGACCGGGAGCTGCTGAGTGTCCCCAGGGACTAGCACAGTGTTTGGTACGTTGTAGGCTCTGTCATGTGTGCTGCATTGAATTGAGCTCTCTTCTAGGGGAGGGAGTTAATATGAGAGGGGACCCAAAGGAAAACAGGAATTATCTACCAGAGGGCAGGCCCCTTGCAATACAGGCTTCCTCTGCTAGGTGAGTGTTCCAGAAACCCATCTGTATCTGTGTACCAGCGGATGTTGTTGTGAGAGGCTGCGTTCAGCTTTAGTGAATTATCTTGAAGACTTTTTCAACACATTTGTGCGTTTCATGATGGGTGATTTACGAGTGCACCTGCTCACACTGCGCTGAGTGTTCAGTTTTTTACCGAAAACGGCATGACCCTGGTGCCTCACCCTCCCCATTCACCCGATCTCACCCCGAGCAACATTTTATTTTGTTTCCCTGGATGAAAAAAAGTCCTTAAAGGGAAATGTTTTGCCAATGTGGAAGAGGTGAAACCAAAAAAAAAAAAACAAAACAAACCCCAAAAAACAAAACCAAACTGCAGAAGCATTAAAAAGGCATCAAAATCAACGAGTTCAAAAACCGTTTTGAGCAGTGGGAAAAGTGTCTCAATAAGTGTTTTGTATCAAATGGAGAGCACTTTGAAGGTGATTGAAATTTAAACATGTAAGAATAAATACACAATTTTTTAATACTGTTTTTTGGGGGACCCCCTTGTAAGGGCGATGAATGGTAATGGAAAAAATACAAAATAAATTTAAAAAATAGAAATAAGTTGAGCTCTCGCACACCTTGACTTGTGCAGGTGAGACCAAAAATCCTGTACATCTGACAGCTTATACTTGTTCCACTGAGTGGCCGAGATTGTTGGCTCCATTTTACCAATGAAGAAGCTGAGATTTGGCAGGTAAGGTCAGAGTCACTTAGCACCCACCTAAGAACTGTCTCCTGACTGCAGGTCTATCACTGTGTCCTGAAACTGCCTCAGAGTCCTAGCCTCGAAAGGGACAGGCGCTACATCAGTGGGATAAGGGTCAAGGAGACCATTGCATCTGACCGATTGTGTATTCCAGTTGCGAACTTTTTCTGGCTGGGAAGTGGCTGATCCTGGCTTTTGTCGCATCAGGGCTGGTGCTGGGAGGACTCTGAGCTGAATCCCCTTTAACTCCGCAGGGGACCTTCCCTTGAGTGGGCTGATAGGACTGAGGTCTTTCCAGGAAGATGACTGGCCCTTTCCAGACTGGCCCTTTCCAGACTGACCTTGAGAATTTGATTTCATTGGCCCCAGGTTTTACTCAGCAGCACTGAGGTGTGGCCCTGACTCACCAGCCCCTGAGGAGGGCCGGGGTCATAAAATCACAGAGCTGGGGGCATCGTGACATTTAACGGAGCCTGGCATGTGGAGAGGGGAAGAGGGCTGAGCGTGTCTCAGTTTGTTAGGGTTTTCCAGTAACTGCACTGTCAGAGCCTCCCGGGCTGGCGGGGGGAGGGTACCGTGATGAATATAGTTTCTGTTTTGGCTTGACTCTTCTCTTCCTATTTCCCCAGAAGGAAGGGAGAAATGGAGCCTGGCTTCGGCTCTGCAGTCTCATTTGTGACTGCTGCCGTGTCTTCTCTTTGAACTCTGACTTGTCCAGGAAACTTCCCAAACCCTCTGCGAGTGGGGCAGGGTAGGGCCAGCCAGCCAGCTGATGGCACGGGCCACTGGGCCTGGAATTACAGGAGAGCCTAACATGTGCCTCCCTAGGTCAGCTCCCTGAGGCCAGAGCCCGTCCTTCCGTCCTGCAGCACGGATGGCCCCCTCAGTGTGGGCAAAGGGCTGCGTACTGGACGTGCTTAGCGTAGGGCCCTGCTTCTAACACGGTACCCGTGGCCCCTAATAGTAGCAATGGCTACTGTTAATTAGGCATAGGCGCTTTGTGTGTTATTTCTAGTCCTTTTAATAGCTCTGGGAAGTGGGCGCTGTACTACCCCACTTTATAGATGAGGAGACTGAGGTTCAGAGAGTGGTTTGGCCAAGGGCACACAGCTTGCTAAGGAATGGCCTTGGGTTTTTGACCCACATCCTTTCCCCCATTCCAAGGTGGGTATTATGGATCCATAGATCAGTAATCTTACTGGACTTGTACCATGGCCAGACATTGTGACCTGGGGCAGCCTCAAGGGCTTGAGAAGAGATGGCTCTGAGGCTCAAGCCTGTGTGTAAGAGAGATGCTGAGTCAGAGCCCTAAGAGCTTGGGTTGGGGAAGCTGGGAGGACGAGGGAGAATTTTGCCCTGAAGGTGACCTTTGAACTGCCCTCTTCAGTCAGAATTAACCCCCAGGGGGAGTATAGGCGCAGAAGTAAGACCAGCTCTGTGGTGTCCTGGGAGCAGTTAGTGGTCAGGAAAGTATTGGGGGAGGGGTATTACCGCCCATAGCAAGAAAGGAGTGCTGGAGTCTGCTGAATTTTTCCTCCTCGACCTTTGTTTTCCAAGGAGTTGAATTCACCTCCACTCCTCTCCTTGCAAGTCCAGGCTCAGGGAAGGGGAGAGGAGCAGCCACCCTGCCTGAGGGCACTCAGGAAACCAGCTCCCCTCGCCAGCTGGTGGAGGGGGTGTCTGGACGCTAGGCTGGGCGACACCACCAGAGCTCAGGCTCCAGCTCCAGGGGAAGTGGTCTGGACCTGGCAGGGAGTGAGCGTGCACGTGTGCCAGCAGGAAAGGGTGTAAGTAGCCCTTCAGCTCATTTCCTGAATGTCACAGTGAGCCCGGTACCGTTCTGGGACCTGGGCACGCAGCAGCGGGCAGAGCCCTGGGACTTCCTGCTTTCATGAAGTTTGCATTCCAGGGGGAGGAAGGAGGCAGTAAGCATAGGCCGCTAAACACGTATGCCTGGGGTGGTAAGTGCTGTGGAGAGAGAATAAGCAGGGTGAGTGGGTGAAGGGTGGGGCTAAACAGGGAGTTCAGGGAAGGCCTCTCCAAGGGGACATTTATGTAGAGACCAGAATGGGGGGAGGGAACATTGCAGAGTCCTGGGGGAGAAGCTCTAGACAGAGGACAGTAGATACAAGGCCCCTGGGGTGGGGGCCTGCTTGACGTGTCCAAGGAACCGGGAGGAACTCATGTGGCTGCAGCAGAAGGTTCAAAGGGCAGAGGAGGCTTGGAGGCCAGGGGGCACACTTTGGCCATTACTCTGGGTGAGCTGTAAGCCATTGGAGGTCTGGGGCATGGGGGAGCTGTGGTCTGACCTTTCCCAGATTTCTCTGGTTGCCGTGTTGAGAATAGAGGTAGGACAAGGGCAGGAGGTAGGAAGCTGGAGCAGGTGAGAGATGAGGCCCCAGGCGGGTGGGGGGAGGTGGCGGTGGTGAGCGGTGGGAAGATGCTGGCCAGATTTTGAAAGAAGAGCCAATAGGATTTGCTGATGGTTGGGGTGTAGAAGATAGGACCCTGGGCTCTTCACCGGCCCTGGCTGGGTTGCTGTTAACCTCTTTGGGGTCTTTTAACACCCGCTCCCTGGCCGGCAGAGGCTCTGGCGGCAGCAGCCACATCTGGGTTTGGGCGTCCCTGTCCAGCACAGAGAGAAGCCCGCGTACCTCTGGGGTCAGCTCTGCCTCATCCTGGCTGGGAGCGGGGCCAGTCTCATCCGTCCCCTGCTCATCGCCACAGCTCCCATGGCGGGATACGGCGAGTAAAGGAGTGGGTGTCTGCAGGGCGCCACGCAGGCCACCGCCAGCTGGGTTTGTGTCTTCTGTGCTGGCCTATCTGGATGGTCCGCAGGCCCGTCTGGTTGCTTCTGCTCCCTCCCTGAACCAGCGCCCTCTCCGGCTGGCCCGCGGCAGGGCAGGGCCAAGGCCAACCTCTCCCACACTCAGAGCTGCTGCCCGTCTGTGGATTCACCATTAACCTGGACACTCACGGGGCAGCTTGACCCAGAACAGCTCCAGCCTGGCCTGAGCAATCTCACAGAGACAGTCAGAGCTCAAGACTATGTCTTCCCCTAGAGAAGAGGCAAGGTGTCATGCTAGCTACCCCTTACTCAGCGATCATTCTGGCTCAGGGGCTGTTCTAGGCCACTGCGTTTAAGTCATCAGTCCTTGCAATACCTATAAGGAGTAAGTGCTGTTGTCATCCCCAGTTTACGGGGGAGAAAACCGGGGCACAGGAAAGTCAGTAACTAGTAAGATGGGAATCCAGGGTTTGAACGTTCAGGCTTGGAGTCTAGTTTTTCCTTGGCATTGCTGATCCTCCTGGTTTGTGCTGAGTTAGGGCCTCGACTGAGAAGCTCCTGAGGCAGCTTGGAGATGCAGAGCAGGGAGGTGTTGAGGGCCTGTGTCCAGCAGAAGGTTTGAAGAAACCATACTGCCCAGCATGTGGATTATTTCTGGATATAAATGAGACTTGTTCCCCTACCCCAGGGTCACAGAACACAGCTCTGTAACATTGGAGCGGGAATCTGCACATTTTGGCCCAAGCCTTTGGAGGAAGCTGGGAGGTGCAAAGGGCGAGGGGGCTCAGAGGTGGCAGCGGTGTCTATTGACTGCTTACTCTAGTGCCAGGCACTGTTCTGTGCACTTCCCGGGCGTTGCCATCTCCTCTGATGCCCTAGGCAGCCCAGAATTGAGACAGGTCTCCCCAGCTCCCTGACGTAGCCTCTGAGGCTCGCACAGTGAGTAGAGGCATTGTTCAAATTGCTGACTTGCCTTGGCCAGAATACTGACCAGTATTCTGCAGGCAACTGGGGTGTTGAGCTACAGAGAGATGGCTGGAGCCTCTGGCCTAGGGTATGACTGAGGTCTGGCAAGGACCCCTTCTGTACCCCTGCCACTGAGGAACTGTGGCAGTCGGAACCGGGGAGCAAGTGGGGGGTTAGGGGGGGCGGGAGCTTGGACCTTTAGCAGGGCCAGGCCCCAGCGATCACAGGTCAGTCCTGGCACCCTCCCTGGGGGCCTGTGCAGGGAGCCAGGACACCCCCCTCCTGCCCCCACCTGCTGCATGGGAATTCGCCTTTGCCTGGAGCTGGAATACCCTGGCCCTTTTACATAGAGATGAGGGAACCTGGACTGAAGGCTCAGAGAGCTTGCTCTGGGCCACCCGGCTGATGAATCATAGAGCTTAGGTTTTAACGAAGGCCTTTTGGGGGGATTTTATTCCATGTCACTGTAGTCTAATAAGTCCCCCACCCCCGCAACACACAAACACACAATTTCCCTCTAACCTAAGAGGCCCTGCCAGCTGCATGTTCTCAAAGCACCTGCCATACCGATGTCAGCTGTAGTACGGCGCAATTGGTGCTACCTTTTTTATCAGGGTAACATATACATTGACCATTTTAACCATTTTTAGATGTGCAGTTCCATGGCATTAAATACAGCGGGTCCTCAAACATTGTTTGGTTCAATATCGTTTCATTATAATGTTGCTCTAGGAACTTAACTCTTGTTTATGTCAATTAGCCTGTGGTAAAATTAGTTTCATTATGCACAGTTTTGCTTAAAGTCACAGAACCTGTCAAGGACGTTAAGTGGGAACTTACTGTATTTTATTGTTGCCTTTATTTAATGCAACTGAAGAAACCAAATCTCAGAGTGGTGATACTTGCCCCAGATCACACAGCTAGTTAAGGGTTGGCTGAGATTTGAGCCCTGGTTTCAGAGTCCAGTTCTCTTTCCAGGATATGAGCTGCCTGATGTTTGCTGGGAATCCCTGAGCCCACCCAAAGCCCCTGCTGCACCTGGTCAGAGTCGAGGCTCCCGGGGGCGCCGGGAGAGGGTGTAGGCCCTTTGCTGAGCTTTCCCCCGTGCCCAGAGACCAGGCTTGCCTCTTCCTCCCGCTCCTCTTTCCCTCCCAGCCTATGATGACAAAACCTCCAGCTTCCTCCCTTCCTCCTTCCTCCAATCCCTAAGCTTTAGCAGCTTAGCTTCTGCAAACCAGTCTGCAGCCAACCCAGGCGGACCCCTTCACACCACATGTGCTGTTCCCCTCCCAGCGCCTCTGAAGGCACTTGGGAGGGGCTGTGGCTGCAGACTGGGGCCAGCAGGAGGCTCTGTTCCCCGGGGCAGGCCAGCAGGAGGCTGGAGACAGCTGATGCCCTGCTGTCTCCAGCCTCACAGCACCCAAGCTTGCCTTCCCCTCATCAGGGGGATGGGCGTGGTGGCTTGGGGCCAGGCCTAGCTGTTTGCTGCACTGCCACCTTCTGCCCTCAAAGGCCAGGGCCGCAGAACAAATGCTTTGGGAACTGCTAAGGGCAGTTCCAGGCCAAGAGGGTTTTCACCTCTTAGACCAACAGGTGGTCTGAGGGAGCCCAAAGGCCTTTGGAAGTCATCTGAGTGAGCGTCCCAAGGAGGTGCCTCAGGGGTGACCCCAGAGTTTACAGAAAGTCTGACCAGCGGGGCTCTCTGTGACCACCTTCTGGGGCAGGACCCATAACAATCCTTTTTTTATCTGTTTTATATGTAGAGGTTACAGGTAAGGTTTTGTTTTATTTATTTATTTATTTTTACAGTTTCTCTTTCTTAAAAAAAAGAGGGTTTTAAAAAAGCATGGATTTTTTTCCTTGGTGAGGAGGACTTGCTTAAAGTTACCCAAGATTAGCGACTGCCCCAAGACTGGGGCTCCGGTCTTAACTCCTGATCGGCACTCATCCTACCACAAGCTTTTGCTTATCTGGACTCTGAGCTGCTCTCATGGGGGAGGGAGCTGTAGAAACTGCCCCCCTCAGCCCGATGCTGGCCAGGTACCCCCGGCCCTGCGTTTGGCTCCCACACGCCCTTGAGCCTGCGGATCCTGGGCTTCCTAGCACCTCTGCTCCCGGCCCCGATCTGTGTCTCTCGCTTCATCAGGGACGTCTGGGTGTGTGAGTGTCAGAGCTGTTGCCACTCAGAGTGTGTCTCACACCTGAGCTGCTGCCACCCAAGTCCTGTCCCCAGGGAGAGAGGGAGAGAGCCAGTGGGAAAGACAGACGCATGGAGCAGAATGGGAGTAGGGAAGCCATCGAGCCCTGCAGTGGAACAGGGAAGCAGGAGAGAGAGACAGGGTGAAGGCAGATAGAGAAGACAAGGAGAGAAACACCGGGGAAACTGGAGAAGGGGGAAGAGAGACCGGTCTGATGGTGGTGGAGAAAAAGACTTACAGATGAAAGATGGGGAGGGACACTCAGAGGAGGCGACAGCATGTAGGCAAGGAGAGGGGGACAAAGACACTTACAAAGAAAAGAGAAAGGTGGTTTGTGAGGCAGACAGGAAAGGGGAGAGATGGAGACAGGGCTGGCAGAAGACAGGAGGGCTATTAGAGACAAGGAAATGTCACCTGCCCTTGAGCTGTGGCCCTGTCACAGTGAGCGATGCGCGGAGCGTGCCGTCTGGCGCCAGGTTCAGCTGATAGATGTTGGGGGGTCCCGTTGCCAGCGGCCTGTCCCATCCCTGGCTGTCTGCTCCAGAGCTGGGCTCACCCCTCCTTCAATACTCTCCAGATGAGCTTATTGTGGGGACCCCCGGAGTGTGGCCTGGGGGGAGGGGTGGCCTTGGACCGGTGCCTCTGTTGGGAACGGTCACTGGGGCCTGTGCAGAGGCAGAGGCCTGCATGAGCTGGCTGCTCAGAACTGCCTGCTGGCCGCAGACCAGGGGCGTGTTTGGAACCTAGTAGGTTGAAGGGGCTGTGGCGGGTAGTTGGTCTAGCAAAGGTTTAGAGGAAACAACAAACCATAAGGGAGACTGGCTGGATCTGGCCTTCCCAGGATCAGGGGTGAACATGGAGGGCTCCCTTCCACTGGCCCCCAAGCCTGCCCCCTGGTGCTGGCTGGTGAGAAGACTCAGGGAGACTCTTAATCGTGTCCTGGAAGCTCAGGCCCCACTGCACTGGGTCCGTGTCTCTCAGGCTCTGGACCGGACCTTTCCTTCTCCCGCCCGGGGGGCAGGGCCTCTTAGGGCACCTTGTAGCAGGTTGGTGGAGCAGAGATTTTAGGCCTGGGGGCTGCGAGGGCTGTGCCCCAGAGAGGGAGTGCCCCGGGGCCCTGTTGTCTGTGGGGTTCGGAGGAATGTTAGCCTCACGGTTGCACAGGCAGTTAAGGGATAGGTAAGCCCATTCGCTTCTCTGAGCCCTGGCTGTCATATCTGTAGAACAGGAAGGACCATCCTGCCCTGTGTGGCCGTGAAGCAGGCCATGGCCACAGCGTTCTCTGGGCAGTGGAGCTCTGGGCCAGCCTTGGGCGGTGGCTGGGTCCTCTTCCCTTCAGGGTTTGTCCTGGTCCTCTCTGCTGCGCAGCACGTTGCTGAGGGCCAAGAGACCCTCTGGATCATCCATTTATTCAATAATCAATTATTAAGCACTTACCAGGTGCTAGGCATTGTGCTAGACCCTAGGACACAGCAGTGCCCCAGTCAGGGAAAGGCACATGGAGTTTGCAGAACAATAAATAAGATCATTTCAGGTAGTGATGAGTCCACTGAAGAATGTATATGCATGACACTGTGACTGGGGACAGGAGGGTGGGGGGCTCTGAGGAGAGGGCTTTTTTTTTTTTTTTTTTTTACATTTTAGAAGAAGGAAGGTGCGGGGGCGGGGGGGGAGGGAGTGGAGAGAGAGAGAAACATTGATTTGTTTTTCCACTTTTTAATGCGTTCATTGGTTGCTTCTTCTATGTGCCCTGACTGGGAATGGAACCTGCAACCTTGGTGTACGGATGGAATGAAGCTCTAACCACCCGAGCTACCCAGCCAGGGCGGGAGGCCTTTTCAGTTGTTATTTGAAACAGTGGGGAAGAACACTCCAGAGCAGCAGCAGCAGTGGGGAAGAACTAGGGCCAAAGTCCCCAAGGTAGGACCAGGCTGCCACATTAAGTGACCTGAAAGAAGGCCAGGGTGGCAGTGGCAGCGAGATTGGGGGTGGGGGAGGCCTCCTGAAATGTGTACCGCAGAGCCACACCCCCAGGCCTTGAGGTGGGCTCTGTTATCCTCAGGTGGGATGGGCGGGAGCCTTGGGGCGGGTGCTGTGAGCAGGGAGTGCTGGATCTAGTGGATGTTCTGAAAGGCTTCCTCTGGCTGTTGGGTGGGGAGGTGCTGGTTGTGGGGTGAGGGGGTCGGCCTGCAGACACCCGTGAGGAGCAAGTTGTGTCCAGCTGAGGGACTTGTGTCCAGCTGAGGGAGGTGGTAGTTAGGCCTCAGGAGGGGCGGTGGGAAAGGGAGCTAGAGAGAAGGGACCACGATGTCCTTCCTCTACACCCACGGTCCCGGCTGTCCCAGCACAGAGCACCGAGAGACACTGCTCTAGGAAGTCCCTCCCAGTTGCCATGGATTAGAGGGTGGGAGGGTAGGGCCGGCTACTGGGAGGGAATGTGGCTTTGTGCTTAGAAAACAAAGAACAGAGCTTGGGGCCCTCTTCTCCTGGGGGTGGGGGCCAGCAGGAGGCTGTTGACTGGACCAGAGGCTGAACCACGGGGCTGGGCTTGGCAGGAGCAGGCTGTGTCCCCAGCCACCGGGGAGGACCCCAGGGCCTGCCCAGGGTGAACTGTGGGCCCTCGGGGCTTTGCAGGGGGTGGTGAGGAAGGATGACAGAGTGAGAGGGATGCTCAAGCCCCCCAGCCTGGAAGTCAGGTCACTGGAGGGAACTTGGGCGCGGGGGGCGCGCGGGGGACTGGGGGCAGGCGTGTGTGGCAGATGCGTTTGGGAGGGAATGGGGTCCCTGGGAGCTGTGTGTGCAGCAATGAAGGAGGCTAACTGGCTTTCAGGACCCTGAGGTGCTTGAGGTGACCCAGCCACCCCGCCTCTTCCCCCAGCTGTGCCACTGAGGCCCCACCCTCCCTGCCGTGCGGCGGGGGTCACCAGGATGAAAGTGTCCGAGGATTTGGCCTGTGACTTGGAACGCAGCCTGCCAGCCGTGGCCTCCTTCAGCTCATCTCTGTCCCACAAGCAGAGCCTCTCGTCGCACTTCCTCCTGCCGCCTCCCGAGAAGCGCCAGGCCATCTCTGATGTCCGCCGCACCTTCTGTCTCTTTGTCACCTTCGACCTGCTCTTTATCTCCCTGCTCTGGATCATCGAGCTGAATGTGAGTGGGCTCAAGGCGGGGGGGGGGGGGCCACCGGCTGTGTTGGGGGGGGCGCCTGAGCCTCAGTTACTCCATCTGCCATGTGGGAGGGTAAAAGGAAGACGGAGAAGAACAGCTCAGAGGGGTTGAGTCATTTGTCAGCTTGGGGGCAGGGTTTGAACCCGCTTCTTGCTCCAGAGTTTACACTCTTGGTTTCCGTGGAGGAAGAGACCCCAACCAGCCCCGGTTGAACTGTTGAAATCTTTGTCTTCTTTCTTCCGTACAAGGCTCTCTGGCTTCATTCATTCCTTCTTTAATTCATTCACTCAGCAAACATTTTTTGAGCTGCTACTGCGTCCCAGGTGCCATGCTAAAAGCGGAGGGTACAGTGGGGAGCGAACCAGTGAGAACTCCCAGTTCTCAGTGGCTCCCAGCTCTCCCTTTCCATTTTGGATGCTCCTCCAGTGCCCCCCCAGTTTGGCCTCAGTGTAGGGTCGGCACCCCCTCTCCTGTGCAGTGCTTGGCCAGCTGGTGGCAAGGCCTGACCTCTAGGCGCTGACAGGGCAGAGCTAGACCTGACCACAGCGGCAGGAGCCGTGGCGGCAGGGCACCCCACACTCGGTCCATCCCGGCTCCTCCTTTGTATTAACTGTGACCTCAGCAAGGGACCCAGCCTTTCTGAGCCCCCTTCATTTTCCTTCTGTAAAGTGTGTCGGCGTCCTAGATGGCAGATACCCTTCCCCCAGATCTCAAGCTCGGGTGACAGGAAAACGATGACTTTGTTGATAGAAGTGAGGAGGTTAGAGAAGGGGCGGGCTTAGGGGCGAAGGGGTCAGTTTGATTCTGGACGTGTTGAGCAGGAGGGCAACTAGGGTTCTGAGGGTGAGTGTCTTACGGGCACAGAGACGAGCTGGCACCTTCCGCTAGGTAGATCCATGGCCACAGGGGACTTTAGGGACCATCTTACCAAAGAAAAAGCTGAGCCCCAGCAAGGGTGGGGCAGTTCAAAGAGCTTCCTAGGTCTCAGCATACTTCCTTTTGTGGTCCTAGTCAACATCAAAGCAAGCACTGACTTAACCCGCATCGTTCATTCCATGCATATTTTCTTGCCAGAAAAGTTGAAAATATTTCGATGATTTTACTTTTGAAATTATCTGGCTGTGTTGGCTGTGGTAGCTCAGCAGTCATTGTGCGTGCTTGGGAATTCTTGCAAAGTGAGGAACCCTAACCTCCAAATTGTTTTTATTTATTTATTTGTTTGTTTGTTATTTATTATTTAGTATTTTTAGACAGAGAGGAAGGGAGGGAGAAAGAGAGGGAGAAAAACACCAATGTGTGGTTGCCTCTCACGTACCCCCTCACTGGGGACCTGGCCTACAACCCAGGCATGTGCCCTGACTGGGAATCGAACCAGCGACCCTTTGGTTTGCAGGCTGGCACTCAATCCACTGAGCCTTACCAGCCAGGGCTGAATTGTTTTTAAATGTAATAAGAAATTTTAGAATGTTGGATTTAGCAATTAGCAGAGGTAATTTAATGTTTCACTTGGTAGACAAAGTTTTATTAATTTCAGTTTTGTAGTTTTATTTTCGTAGTTTGGAGCAGACATATTTTTAGTTCTCCCACAGACTGTGTCTCCCAGTGGCTACAAAGACCCCAGCAGGGCTATGAGGTCTTGCCGCCCGAGACCAGCAAAGCCGGGGCTGGCATGTGGCTCTCCTGAGTCCTGATGCAGCCCCTGCAGGCCGGCACCGGGCAGAGGGCGAGTTCTCTGTAAAGGGAAAAGGGGGAGCAAAGCTGTGGGGGACAGGGGCTGTTGGGGGTGGGAGGAGCTGGGGAGCCCAAGAGGAAGTGGTCTTTGGAGGAAGAGGTGGGCCTGGCTGGGGTGGGCTGTCAGGCCAGCGCATGGGGGCGTTCAACTTAGCAGGGCTCAGGATGGTCTTAAGGTTCAGGCATGTGGCTGGCATGTGCCGGGGGCTCTAGCATCAGTCGGGGGCTGTCCGGACTCCTGGCTCCTTGCCTGAGCATCAGAATCACCGGGAAGTTTTGTAAAGATTCCAGATGTTCAGCTCACCCTAAGATTCAGACTCAGTGGTCTGAACATCTTTACCTTTAACCAGCCCCCCTCCCCAAACTCAGATGATCTGCCAGAGATCAGAAGCCCGGTCCAGGTGGTCAGGAAGGGCCTTCCCCCTCAGGCTGCGGCCTGGCTCTCGGCATCCATCCAGCCTCCCTCTCTCCCCAGCCAGGGTCTCTGGGGCCCCATTGAAAGTGCGCAGGCGGCCAGGCCAGGGACAGGGGCGATGAAAAGCCTGCCCGCCCTCCATGCTGTCCTCTCCAGCAGCGTGATGGATTTTGCCCATTAAGCACAAACCTAATCAATTGATTTGCCACCTGGGGCTCCGTCTGACACCACTGCCCACCCCCAGCCCCCATCACCCCAGATGGATGGTTGACTGGCAAGATGGAGCACTGAAGTGGGAGGGAGATGCCGTCCTGTGCGGCAGGCTCCCAGCACCCTGTCTGCCCACCCGACCTGCCGGCACAGCGCCCAGCCCCTCCCCCTCACAGCCCTGAGGCCTCTGAGTGCGACCCTGCCCGCGGTCATCAGTGCTTGAGCCCTGCTTGCCTGGGCCGCTTATATCCTTAGAGGGATGTCCCAGGCCTCTGGCTGAACTCCCTTGGTGCTCCGAGACCCGCCTTGGTGGTGGCATAGCACCTACAGCCCCTCCTCCAGGTGCCACCCTGCCCCTGCCTCCTCCCTGTCCCGGGAGGCGAGGGACAGCCCAGGGGCTGGGTTCTGCCTGTAGAGCTGTTTGTGTCTTCCTCTTCCAGACCAACACGGGCATTCGGAAGAACTTGGAGCAGGAAATCATCCACTACAACTTCAAAACTTCCTTTTTTGACATCTTTGTGAGTGACCGTAGGGTCCTGGGAGCAGAGGGCACAGGGACACGACTGGCTAGACTCTCTTCTTTCTGCAACACACACTCTAACCTGATTGGGGAGACTTGGCTCCCGGCCTCAGGGAGCCCTCAGTCTTTAAAAAGGTTCCTAAATGAGGTCCCGCCTTCAGAGAGCCCCCAGTGGGAGGGGGAAGACAAAACCTGGGCCCAAGATGGTCACATCCGAAGCGTCCCCAAGAAATGCTGACTCAGCTGTTCTCTCCAAGGTGTGCATACCCACGTGGAGGAAACCTGGGGGAGCAGGACTAGAGCGGGAGGTGGGCCTTCAGCGGGGTGGGGGACACTGGCTTGCCTGTCACCCCCAGGTCCTGGCCTTCTTCCGCTTCTCAGGACTGCTCCTGGGCTATGCGGTGCTGCGGCTCCGGCACTGGTGGGTGATTGCGGTAAGATGCCACCTGCCCGCCGCTCTGGATCCCTGGCGGGGCTGGTACGAGGGATCGGATGGAGGAGGACTCACGCCCCAGCTCCCGTTTATCCTCTCTCCTTCCTCTTTTCCCCTGGGCAGATCACCACGCTAGTGTCCAGTGCCTTCCTCATTGTCAAGGTCATCCTCTCTGAGGTCAGTAGCTCAGGGTCTGGGTGATCTGGAGGGCATCTGGCCTGAGGGCTGGGCTTCCCCTCAGAAGGGACCGTTTCTCCGATTTTGGGTGGCTGGGTTGGCGGGAGGGGGTATCCTCTCCTTTGATATTCCAAGGAATCGCTTCGCTGACTTCTCCAACCTGCCCCTCTATGACCCCAAGAATAGAAGGTTCTTCCTCCAGCCTCACCTCAGTTCATCCTGCTGCAGAATTCATTCACTCATCTCAGAGCCGTGTGCCAGAGGGTCCCCAGGCTGCTAGTGCCAGGAGTGGGGTGTATGCCAGAGTCTGTAGTCCCAGGAGGGGGCTCTGCTCTGGGTTTGGGGTGACCCCCTGCTGTGGAGCTCGGCCCCCTCTCTCCATAGCTGCTCAACAAAGGGGCATTTGGCTACCTGCTCCCCATCGTCTCCTTCGTCCTTGCCTGGTTGGAGACCTGGTTCCTTGACTTCAAAGTCCTGCCCCAGGAAGCTGAGGAGGAGCGATGTGAGTGCTAGGGGTAAGGGGAGCCGTGAGGGTCGTCCCAGCCCGAAGAGGGGAGAATTTCAGGCATGAGAGCCAGTTCTGAGCCATCTTGCCAAGCTGAGCCTAAGAGTGAGCCCAGGGCAGGAGGACCCCAGGCTGCTCGACTGTCCTTGGTCTGGGACAATGGCTGCCCATGTCTGCCCTCCCAGGGTATCTTGCTGCCCAGGCCGCTGTCGCCCATGGACCCCTACTCTTCTCTGGAGCTCTATCTGAGGGCCAGTTCTATTCACCCCCAGAATCCTTTGCAGGTGAGGGCTGGTGTTCAGGGGAGCTACCTTCAGGGAGGGGCTCTGAGGAATGGGGTAGGCTGGGTCTGTTCTTTCTGTTCCTTCTATGGTCTCCCTGGGGAAAGCTGCAGCCCTCTCCCACACACACTTCCCTCCCCCACATCCTGCATTTGTATCAGAACCCCACGACCTCCCCACACTCTCTCCCCACACTCTCTCCCCACCTCTTCCCATTGTCATCTGTGTTTGTTCTCTGCAGGGTCTGACAATGAATCAGATGAAGAACTCGTTGGGAAGAAAAGCTGCTCTGCCCAGGTATTCGGCCGCCCACCCCCACCCTACCTTTGGAGTGGGCACCCCAGAGAAGGGCCAGTGCTGGGCCAGCCAGGCTGGGCAGGGGCTTCCCAGCAGAGGGTAAACCTCAGCAGCTTGAAGGCCACTCGGTGCCTTTTTGAGTGTCGACCCCACTGTCGGCCCGGCCCACTGGTCTGCCTCAGGCCTTCACAGCTTCTGGCCCCAGAGCCCCTCAGGGCCTGACTGGGACAGGCTCCCATGAGAGGCGAGTAGAATATCTAGGGAAAGAACCAGCTGCGAACGAAGTGGGGTGCAGGCCCTGGGCTCACCCCCTCCTGCCTCCCGTCCCCGGCCAGGAGCGGGAGTACATCCGTCAGGGGAAGGAGGCTACGGCTGTGGTGGACCAGATCTTGGCCCAGGAGGAGAACTGGAAATTTGAGAAGAATAATGTAAGAAACCTCTGTTCCACCTGACCCGCCCACGTGTGTTGGGCGTTTTTGCTCCCTTTTCTGAGGCCTGAGAAATAAGCCCAAGGATTACACGGGTTGGAACCGTATCCGTGTCCCAGGAGAGGGGGCTGGGCCCAGGGGTTGGCTTCTTGGCAGGAGGTCAGGATGGATTGGATGTTTCCACTGCCCCTCCTCCTTGCCCCCCGCCCCCCCACTAACCCTCCTGCCCTCATCTCCCTGCGGCTCTGCTTCCTAGGCTTAGCTTTGAAGGGGAAGCCAGGCACCTACTCTGTGTTTGGTGTTTTGTTTCATGATCAAAACAATATTATCTAAAAAGATGGCAGAGAGCTGGGAAAGGAGGGGGAGCATTCCCGTCCCTCCCTCCGGCCAGTGCGTCTGGCAGCCCTTGTGGGCAGGGACACCCGTTCCTCGTGGCTGCGGCCCCGGCCGTGCCTCTGTCTTTTAAACTTGACAGTAAAAGCCTTTCTCTCCTTGTTGCCGGACATTTGTCGGAACCACTGTTTTTTTAACAGCTGCTCCAATATCCCCAGACTCCTGGAGTTTTCTGCTCTGAGCTGTTTAAAAACCTAAAGTACCTGTCACGCATTCCTGAGCCACCAGCCCACCCCCGTGCCCTCCCCCCTCTGCCCACCTCCCTGCCATCCTTCTCTCCCTCCCACAGGAATATGGAGACACTGTGTACACCATTGAGGTTCCCTTTCATGGCAAGACGTTCATCCTGAAGGTGAGTGAGGGGAGCGGGTGTTCAGGAGTGCCCCGGAGCCTCCTGCCCCGTCAGGGACTTGGGGTGGGGGCTGGGGGGCGCACTCTGGGGGAGGGCGGCGGGCTGAGCGCCGCTGGCAGCAGCCTGCCCTCCGCCTGCCCTGCCCCAGACCTTCCTGCCCTGCCCGGCGGAGCTGGTGTACCAAGAAGTGATCCTGCAGCCTGAGAGGATGGTGCTGTGGAACAAGACAGTGACCGCCTGCCAGGTGAGCCTTGTAGCCAGGAGGCCTGGCCTGGCCATCTCTCAGGACAGGGCCCAGGGGACCTGGGTCATGTCATTGAACTCTTCTGTGCCTCAGGTTCCCCATCTGTAAAATGGGACGTTGGCACCAGTGTTTCCCAGAGAGGGCGGGGGGAATGGACAGGGCGCCTGGCCCAGGCTCCATTAGTGGGATGGCTGTTAGTACAGGGACAGTGTGGAGCAGGCTGGGCTGGGGGTTGCCTGAGGTGCTCGGTTCTCCCGGGATAGGCCGCACCTCACGTCTCCCCTGCGGCCCGCAGATCCTGCACCGAGTGGAAGACAACACTCTCATTTCCTATGACGTGTCCGCAGGGGCTGCGGGCGGCGTGGTCTCCCCAAGGTGAGTAGCCGCCACACCCTTTCTCTCAGGTGGGCCTTCTGCCCCTGTATCTTGGGCCTGGCACCCGCCGGACCTAACCCTTCCCCCTTCCAGGGACTTTGTGAATGTCCGGCGCATCGAGCGACGTAAAGACAAATACCTGTCATCAGGCATTGCCACAACCCACAGTGCCAAGCCCCCAACACACAAATATGTCAGGTGAGCCTTGCCTTGCCCACGTTCATCCCAACCAGCCCCTCCAGAGGTGGCTCTCAGGACAGGGCAGGTTACAATAGGCACAGCTGGGGACTTTCTCCTGCTCAGGCCACCTTCCTGTCCCCTGTCCCACTGGGCTTTGCCCTTCCCGGCCCCTCATCCTGCTAATGGGCTGCTCTGTGCAGTGGAGACGGGCGGAATGATGTCCCGACCCATGCCACCCACTCTGTAGGGCAGCTCCAAGGGTAGACCGGGGATAGGGTAGGGCCAGCGCCGGGTGACCCGATCAGGACACTTCGAGTCCCCTCCCCCGCTCTTCTCCCTGGCCGGCTACCTTGCCTTCTCCTGGAGCCCTTGAAGTCCTGCCAGAGGAAGAGGAGTTACACTTTTCCTGCTGCCTTTTCCAGGCACCCCGCAGTGCTCCTTCTGTCTAATCCTAGATGCCAGTACCGCAGGCGGCGTCCTCCCAGACACCACCCCTTTCCCTTCCTTGCTAGGGTTTGCAGAGAGCACTGTTCTTTGGGTAACAGCCTGGGGCTCTGGTCTCGGCCCCACCGGACTTGCTGGGTGACGGGCAAGCTGGCTTCCTCTCCAAGCGCCAACTTCCTTATCTACGGAGTGGGCCTAGGAATGCTCAGTGAAATGGCGGGCAAGTTAAATGGGTCAGGATGTCAACCACACAGCTTCCTGAGACCCGCTCCCCAGCAGTGGGGGGGGGGGGTGCTCCCTAAGAGGGCACCCCCTGCTGGAGGCCACCAGCACTGCACTGTCCCCTGAGCTGGGCAGGGGTGAAAAGTGCCTGCCCAGGCCACCCCTCACAGCTAGAGTTGACCTAGAATTTCTGGACAGAGTAGTTGAGGGCTGGGAGGGCGGGAGCTCCCTGTGGGGGGCGTGCACAGTGCGCACTAGCAGGCGTGGACTCCCTAGGGAGTGTCTGAGCATCGCAAGGTGTGGGTGGGGATGGAGAGCTGTAGCCTCTGGCACACCTCTTCTGGGCCAGCTCAGGCAGGGTAGCAGTTGCTAGACCAGCAGCCCCCTTCTCTCTTCTACCCATATCCAAGAGGGGCCAAGAATGGAGGGGGGCGAGTCAGGCTCTGAGGTCACCCCAGTGGCGCCTCTCTCCTCAGGGGAGAGAATGGTCCAGGGGGCTTCGTCGTGCTCAAGTCGGCCAGTAACCCCCGCGTCTGCACCTTTGTCTGGATCCTTAATACAGATCTCAAGGTGAGGGTGCTGAGGCTGCAGGACAGGCTCAGAGGTGGGGGAGCTCTGCCGGGTTCCCTGCTGGGGGCTCCCTGCCCGGCTCAGAGCCTCCCCTACTCTCCACCCTTTCTTACTCTCAAATTTGGGGCAGAATCTGCACGGTCTTACTGCCCCGTTACTGGAGGGCCTGTGCCCCTCGTTTCATACTTCTGACTCCAGAGGCCCCAAGGAGGGGCGCTGGCTGCCAGCCTAGCCCCTCCCGGGTCTGTTTGTGTGGCTGATGCCAAGGCCTGGGCACAGTATGTTCTTCCTGCGAAAGGTGAGGGGGAGAGGGTGGCCTGGGCTGCCTTCCAGAGCTGCACCTGCATCCTGGCCCAGAGCACGCCCTGCAGGTGCCAGTTGTTGAGGGAGGAGCCCGTGCCGAGGGCAGGCCGTCCTGGAGCTGACTCCCGCCTTCCCAGGGCCGCCTGCCCCGGTACCTCATCCACCAGAGCCTTGCAGCCACCATGTTTGAGTTTGCCTTCCACCTGCGGCAGCGCATCGGAGAACTGGGAGCCCGAGCATAATCCTGCCCCCGCGCCACCCTGCGGGCCAGGGTTCTGTCACCACAGCCACCAGAGCCAGAGACGGGGCTCAGGGGGCTGCCCACAGAGGACCTGGCCTCAAGCAGCGTGAGGAAGAAGCTTTCTCCCATGGCAGCCCCTTGGCCTCAAGCTGCCAAGCTTCGCTGTGCCTGGGAGCAGCGGCCGTGAGCAGGTGGCAGGCCCATGGACGCTGGGGCTCTCTGCTACTGAGGCGAGTGGGGCCCCTGCTGCTGGTGTTTATGTGGTGCCCCTGCCTCTCGGACGACGAGACCTGCGGTCCCCTGCCTGGCCAGGGGCAGGGTCTGGAGTGGGAGCCTCAGACTTGGTGGGCGAGGGCCAGGGCCAGGCCCTGGCCAGGACGGAGGCCGGAGCAGCCTGGTCATCAGGGTTAGGGTGCAGGAGCCCCTTCGTCTGCCCGCTCTCTCAGCACGGTCTTCGGGGATTACGTAAAGGGTCTGGGACCATTTTTCACATGTACTTGTCGGGGAGCGGGTGGCAGGTGGGGATGGTGGACGCTGGCAGTGAGCCTCTGCCTCTCCCAGCTTCTCCCCCTCCCCTCAGGGCCTCCTTGGGCACTTTTGTAATTTGAGCCGATTAATAACAAGAACTCAAAAGAAAAAAAGCAACCCCTCCAGCCTGGCCTCTTCAGGGAAGGGGAGGGGGCACCGTGCAGGTGGGGAGGGAGTAAGCCACACAGGGGCCAAAGGTGGCCAGATACGTGACACATCCTCTCACACCCTGCAGCCAGTGGGGGCTCAGATCCTGCCCCCGCCACCCGTCCTCCCAACACACACACGCACCTTTTCCTGAATGGCTCCACGGGGCAGATGACTAGTTAGAGAAAAATGCTCCACCCCCTCTGCCAGGCATCCTGTGAGGGAAGATCAGGTCGAGGTCTCCAGTCCAGGGTTTGGGAGGAGGTGGGAGCAACCCAGCAGTGCCCACAGCAGGCCCTGGTTGTTCCTGGGGTCCCAGGTCCGGCTGGGGCTGAAGATAGGGTCTCAGTGTCCGGGTCACTGAGGCATCTGGAATCTGCGCAGCTGACCGAGCCCCTGTCCTGCCACACTCACTAGGGGCAGCACCTAGGAGGATCCCAGGCAAGGCCAAGGCCCTTCCCTCCTCCCTCCCTGCCCTCAGGTTCCCAGAGGAGCCAGTGAGCCTGCGGGGGGGGGGGGGGGGCGGGGGGGCAGGGGGGCAGGTTGGGAGGCGCCTGGTCCTGGCTGGTGTGTGACCCTGGGCAAATCTGTCTCAGCCTCCATTTCTTAATTTGTAAAAATGAGGCTCACTAGGTCATAGGGCTGTCATGAGATTAGAGGATAACCAGGAATCAGAGATAGTGCCTCAGTGCTCAAGAGTACGCGGTCTGCCCCAGGTGGGCAGCCTGCTGTCCCCACAAGGTCCTCAGGTCCTATCACTGCCTCTTCTGGTGCCCTTTGCTCTGTCGGCTCAGCGATTCCCACATTCCTTCTCCCCCTGCGCCCACCTCGCTGTGTGGGCTGCCAGCACCGTACATTGCTGCTCCTGGGCGCTGGGCTGTCCCAGCAGCCATCCCACTCCCCAGGCGTGAGCACCAGGCCCCGCCCAGGGGGCACGTTGGAGCTGGCAGGCCCCAGAGCTCTGGTCAGACTGTTATGACCAGAAAGTGAGGAAAATGAAACCCAGAAAGGGACAGGGATTGCCCCCTGGTCACATTTATGGTGGGTTTGGGTTAGAGCCAGATCTGCTGATTGTCACTCATCAGAGTCCCTTGGTTGCCACCTCACCCCATCTCACCCCACTTGGGGTGTCGGGAGTAGAGCTGGAGGCCACTCTCCCCTCCCTGGCTCGACTGAGGAGGCCGCCTCTCTGACCGCTGGCCGTGGGGAAGAAGGCGCCCGACAAGGGTCCACACCCAGGCCCCCAGGCGCAGAGTGAACTGCGGGGATTCCTGCTGCTGCGGCGGTGGCAGGGGAGAACCGGGCCTGCCTGTGCAGACGCCCGAGGGTGTGCTTGCACCGTCCCTTCCTGCGGAGGGGCACCGTCCGGGCATGTGCCCTTGAACCCAGGCAGAGGAGAGCAGTGGGCGGGAAGGACCTGACCGCCTGGTGCGGAGCCCAGAGGGGCCTCTGGTCCTGCACTTTCCCGCTCTGTTTACAGACAAGTGGCTGTCCTTCCTGGATGAGGGGGAAGGGGAGGGGCAGAGAGCAGGTGCCAAGGTGGCACGAGGCTGGGCATGTGCCTGGCCTCAGACAGTGTCCAAGGAGTATCAGACACCTGGGGCTGTTGCTCTGAAGACCCCTGGCCCCACCAGAGTACCTTGATCTCTTCGGAAGCTGACCACCAACTTGGGGCCAGCAGGAGCCCAGGTACCCCAACCCCCACCCTGCGCCCAAAGTCTCCCATCAGAGCCTTGGCTCTGCTTACAGCATCTGACACCAGAGGGGCTGAAAATAGCCCCTGGAGGAGGGGGAGGAGGGGGCTATTTAAAGGGCCTGGGAGAAGCAGAGCTTAGAGAGTGAGGCTGATCATGGCCACTTCAGAGCTGAGCTGCCGGGTGTCTGAGGAGAACTCCGAGCGCCGGGAGGCCTTCTGGGCCGAATGGAAGGACCTGACACTGTCCACAAGGCCTGAGGAGGGGTGAGTGCTCGCCAGCTGCGGGGTCGCTCCTCTCGTTGCTTACAGCACCTTCCCTGAGCCTCAGGAGGCCAGAGCACAAAGTTTCGGGGGGTGGGGGTGAGGTGGGGCCACCCCTCCTGCGCCCAGGGGGTCCCCTGCCCAGCCTGTGACTGGAGGCAGCAGCTCTCAGGCGCTCAGCGCCCTCCCCTCTCCTCCCCAGCTGCTCCCTGCACGAGGAGGATGCCCAGCGGCATGAGACCTACCACCGGCAGGGGCAGTGCCAGGTGCTGGTGCAGCGTTCCCCCTGGCTGGTGATGCGTATGGGCATCCTTGGCCAGGGGCTGCAGGAATACCTGCTGCCGTACCAGCGGGTGCTGCCGCTGCCCATCTTCACCCCCACCAAGATGGGCGCCGCCAAGGAAGAGCGCGAGGACACCCCCACCCAGCTGCGGGAGCTGCTGGCGCTGGAGACGGCCCTGGGTGGCCAGTGTATGGAGCGCCAGGATGTGGCAGAGATCACCAAGCAGTTGCCCCCGGTGGTGTCTGTCAGCAAACCTGGCACCCTTCGTCGCTCTCTGTCCCGCTCCATGTCCCAGGAAGCACAGAGAGGCTGAGAGAGACTGACTCAGGCTCCACTGTGCCCGCCCTGGGCTGGCCCCTTCCTGGCTAGGACCACGGAGGGGAGCTGCTGGCCGTGGATGCTTTGTAGTTTGCCCAGGGTTGGGGGCTAGGGGAGGAGGGAGCCAGAGGCCAGGAGGCCTGGGTCCCCTGAGTTCCCAAAGGGAGGGGAGCAAAGACAGTGGGCACCGAGTGTGGAGAGCTAGGGGCCAGCACAGCTGAAACCCCCAGCCCAGGAGAAAGGTCACAGTTGGCTGGTGAGGGAGAGGTGCTTGCGAGGGTGACCCAGCTTTACAGACGGGCACGGGAAAGTGTGAGGAGGTCAGGACGCTCCGGGAAGGAGGCTGCGAGAAGACTGGAGGGAGGGGAGTGCAGAGAGGGCCGAGGCAGGGTGGAGCCCCCAGCACCCGCTGTTAGCGCTGCAATAAATGCTCAGTGGTGTCCAGTTCCGTGTCTTTCCTTGTGGTTGTGGGGGCCAGCCCGCTGGTGTCATTCCCTCCCCATGCCCACTTCTGGGGACAGGCCCTGCCCCTGGACCAAATGTGGCAAAGCAAGTGGGTGCACCCCACGTCTGGGGGGACAGGACTATAAAACAGGGCCGTGTGTCCAGTGCCCCTTCGGCACCCTGACTCGGCCGTGCGGTCCCACCCTCCCAGCCCGGTTCCCTGGCACGGGGCAGTGCCCAGGAGGCCAGCTGGCACCCGCGGCTTGTTTAAATGATTCCTTGGAGAACATGGAGAGAGCTGGCACTCAGACCGTCCTTGGCTGTGCCTCGGTGTGTGATGGGGTCAGCGACCCCAAGGCTGGCCTGCCTGTCCCTTCTAAATCCAGACGAAAGCAGTCTTGGCGCGGGGCAGGTGCTACACCCTTCCCTCTCCTGGGAGTCCAGGGTGGGTTGTCGAGGGCGGGGTGGGGGTCAGGTTCCTGTCCGTGACCCCTGCAGCTGTTGTGGTGACTCATGTTCCAACCTGGCTGCCCAGCTCGACAAGGAGACACTCTCCCCTTAGAACAAGGTGGCGGGTGGCGGGGCGGAGGGCCACAGGCAGGCGCGGGGCCCATCTTGGCCGCGAAGCTGAAGCACCAAGGTCCTCAACCAGGGAGCTGCTTAAGTGTTCGTGGTATTGTGAGGAAAACCACCCGGAGAGCTAGCAGATGTGGACATGCCGTTCATTGCTCACGTTACAGGGGAGCACACCCACGGTGGCAGGTCAGTGCGAGAGAGACCGCACCTCCTCCACTCTGAGGCTTGTTCTCAGGGGTCCCAGACAAAGGCAGCGCGGGTCCAGGTTGCACAAACCTACGTGTGGCCCGGAGCTACATTACAGCAGTGTGCTCGGTGCAGAAGGAAAAGGTCACAGGACCAGCAGCGGCTCCCAAAAGGAGATAAGGAAGGAGTTACAGTCCATTCCCAAAACAACTCACATTCCTTCTGGCCAAGGGGGCCAACCTTTATCACTGGTGGAGGGAGAGCCATGTATTGACCCCACAGTAACCCGCCCAGGGCGGAGGGGCACTGGGCTGACCCAGAGGGGTCCCACTCCAGGAAACCCCAAGAGATGGCCCTGCAGCATCTACTTCCTATTGGGAGGATAAGAGGAGTCTCGGCATCTTAACAGTCTAGTATCTAGAAGCCAAGTGAGAACTTCAGGCCTGGCCAGGCCCGCGGCCCCAGGGGGTGCTGCAGTGTAGGTAGAAACCCAAGACCCGTCGGACCCCAAGTCTCTTGGCGCCCGAAGACTGAGACGGCGCCCCCTCGTGGCCCCGGCAGCCTGGAGAATGGCCCTGAGCCCTCCCTTCCTCACCTGAGTCCTGCTCCCCCCGCCCCGCCCCCGCTGCCACCCCCCGAGATGCCCAGGAAGCCCCGAGCCTTCCGCCCTCGGCAGGCCCCAGATAAGCGGCTCAAAGCCCGCAGGGCCGGCAGGTAAGGCCCCGCTGTTCCACCTCCTAAGTGCATTAGCCCCGCTCGCTTTCCCTATCGCCGCGGCCATCGGACGGGCGTGGCGAGCTCCGCTCCGGGGCCTCGGGGAGACCGTGGCCGAGACCAGAACGGACTGTCCTTTCTGCAGTGGGCATGGGTGAGGGGCGCTGGGGACGGAAGTGGAGTAGAAAGTATGAAAAAAAGAGGCTTGGAGGAGGGGCGGAGAATGGGCGTTGGGTGACCTTACTAAGGGGAGGGGCGGGTGTTGGACAGGGTGTCCCGGAGAAGGGGCGCCTGGCGGGGCGGCTGGGCCCTTGGCGGGAGGGCGCTGGGAGGTGGGGGCCGGGGACAGGGCCAGTTCGAACCCTGGCAAAAGAGAGGGGTCGGCTAAAGGGGTGCCCGGCGGGGGGCGCTGGACGAGACGCACGCGAGGAGCTGGGGGCTGGTGGTCGGGGATCGGAGAGGTATGCGGGTGGAGGCTGAGGTGCGGGACCCGGGACAGGCCGGGGAGGCCGCGGGTCAGGGGCGGGAACAGATGTTCCAGCGGCGGCGCCGCCGCCCGCAGCCCCGTGCGTCGGCGGGGACACGGAAGGAGACGGATGGGGCAGGGGAAGGCGGCAGCGTGGCCCCGGGCGGCTCTGCGCCTGGTGCTAATCGCCGCCCCCGCAGCAGAGGAGTCGGGGCGGGGACCCAGCCGCAGATAAAGGGGCTGAGAGGCCAGCGGGGCCCCAGGTGGGCAGCGGCAGCATCATGAGCGCGGCCGGCCCGGGTCACGCGGCGGCCACCGAGGACTCGCACCCAGGCCAGGCGGCGGTCGCCGCGGCCTACCAACGATTCGAGCCCCGCGCCTACCTCCGCAACAACTACGCGCCCCCGCGGGGCGACCTGAGCAACCCAGACGGCGTGGGGCCTTGGAAGCTGCGCTGCCTGGCGCAGACCTTCGCGACTGGTGAGTGCGGGGAAACTGAGGCACAGAAGACAAGAAGTCATCAGGGAGCTAAAGGGGTGCATGAGAAAGCCAGATGGGGACCAAGGAGCAGGTAGTTAAGAGGTAGAACTAGAGGACGAAGAGGAGCCATGAAGGAGAGGGGCCCGTGAAGGGACGTTGGGAAGAGAGGATGCTCAGAACCGGGGTGAGGTGGGCGACACAGGAAAGGGACTGCCACCGAGAAAGAAACGGAGACGGAGACTGGGGAGAGGAATGAGACGACTGGAAGAAATTGCCAGGCACCTCAGGATTTCCTCCACTTAATCACCGCTGGAGGGTAATTTCACAGATGGGGGAGCTGAGCCTCAGGGGGGCTTCCTTTCTCAAGGTTTCAAGGTTGAAACCAGGACTCAGACTCCAGTTGGTCCTGCTCCAGAATGGGTGCTTTTCCGTATAGGGACACACAGAGGGAGAAGGAAGGGGGTGGGGGTGTGGAGGGAGAAAAGCAGGCCAGGGAGGAGCAACTGAGGCAGAGGCCCTTGGACAGGGCTGGCGCCAGGACCCTCCTTCTCTGCCCCGTCCAGGCGAGGTGTCCGGACACACCCTCATCGACATTGGTTCAGGCCCCACCATATACCAGCTGCTCAGTGCCTGTGCCCACTTCGAAGACATCACCATGACAGATTTTCTGGAGGTGAACCGCCAGGAGCTGGGGCTCTGGCTGCGGGGAGAGCCTGGGTCCTTCGACTGGAGCGTGTACAGCCAGCATGTCTGCCTCATTGAGGGCAAGGGGTAAGGGCTAGGGCATGAGAATCCAGCAGGGGGCCTCCCACGGTGTGGCTCATGGGGGACAACAGAGGACTGAGCCTGGGGCAGTCTTGAGCCCTGGCTCTGACGCCGCCTCCCGTCCCCGCTCAGGGAGTCCTGGCAGGAGAAGGAGCGCCAGCTGCGAGCTAAGGTGAAGCGGGTCCTCCCAATTGACGTGCACCAGCCCCAGCCGCTGGGTGCCGGGGGCCTGGCCCCCCTGCCTGCCGATGCCCTGGTCTCTACCTTCTGCCTGGAGGCGGTGAGCCCTGACTTTGCCAGCTTCCAGCGGGCTCTGGACCACATCACTACACTGCTAAGGCCTGGGGGGCACCTCCTGCTCATCGGGGCACTGGAGGAGTCGTGGTACCTGGCTGGAGAGGCCAGGCTGATGGTGGTGCCCGTGCGTGAGGAGGAGGTGAGGGAGGCCCTGGTGTGCAGCGGCTACAAGGTGCGGGACCTACGCACCTACGCCATGCCTGCCCACCTCCAAACAGGTGTAGATGACGTCAAGGGCATCTTCTTTGCCTGGGCCCAGAAGAAGGCTGGGGTGTGAGGCTCAAGGGCACACAGTGCCGGCAGCCCTCAGCCAACTAGGCTCTGTTATCCGAGGTAGCACCTAATAAAGAAATGTCTCTGCTGCGGAGTGTCTGTGCTGTCTGTGCCTCTCCTGGGAAGCAAGTAGGGCTCTCTTGTGTTATAGGGGCATGGTAGGCACCAACCCTGGCCCCTTTTTTCCCCCAGAAGCTTCCATGAAGGTAAGTTTCTATATTAGTCATTTTTCCCAAACTAAGGAAACCTAGATTGGAGAGACCTCAGTCTGCACTTGCTGTGTGCCAGGCACCTACCAGGTCCACTGGTCCTCGCACTGAGTAGCAGGTCCTGTTATCCTGTTTGCAGGGGAAGCTCAGAAAGGTACAGACCAGCGGGGGCAAGGGATACGAGGGAGGCTGAAGTGGACCTTGCAAGAGGCAGGGTTACCATCCAGGCTCCAACCAAGTCCAGGGAAGTGAGAGGAAGAACAAGCACCAACTCCCTCACAAGCTGGACTGGAGCCCTGCCCAGCTCTGCTGTTGCTCTGTGTCTGGTCCTCGCCACCCCCACCCCTGCACACCCAGGCAGAGACCCCCCCGCCCCGCTGCCCTCTCCGGCCAGCACTTCCCCCTCCCCTCCGGCCCACCTCACACAAGTGCAATGAACAAGGGTAGGTAATGCTGAAAATTGGTTTATTAAAAATGTCCTTTGCTACCCTCCAACCTTAAAATAGTTCTCAGGATCAAAACAAATTAACATGGGCCACGAAGGTCCCTGCAGTTGGAGTCCTAGCATAGTGTCCCTACTCCCAGGGAGGGACAAGGCAGCAGGGAAAGAGCAAGAATCCAGACTCCCTGCTCCCATCGGAGACTGCCTTTGGATGGGAAGTTTCCAGAGCTCCACATTCTATCCTTGCGTTGCAGGAATGGACAGGGACTGCCAGCAACTAGCAGGGTCACCTTTACCAGGGCGCTGGCACAGCGTAGCCCCTGCCAGCTGCAGCCTTTTCCCCTCCTCTCTTAGATTCCCCCTCCCCCTCCCCAGGGTCCAGGCTGTGACAGTGGGGCTTGGCAGGCTGGGCACTGGGGTCGGGAGGAGACAGGGGGCTAGAGGAGCCCAGAGGATCCCCATGTCCCTCCTCCCCCTGCCTCCAAAAGGGCTGGTTCTGGAGGGTGATCCTGAGTTGTGTGGGGGCCCTACGTGGTTTTAAAAAAGGGGGGGGGACAACAGACTAACACATACACACACATGCAGCCCAGACACCATGTCCCCAGCCAGATCTTGGGGCTACCCTGGCTTTCTGCCAGGCCTGGGGCTTTGCGCAGAGCTGGTACTCAACAAACGGTTGTTGATGGCGACTTGACCGCCTCACCCTGCCCCAGCCTCCCCTCGTGGTGTGGCGCACTCCGCGCCGCTCACACACAGCTCGCACACTGCGTCCATCCCCTCACCCACACGGCCCGCCTGCCCCCACCGCACGCACACTTCAAAGCCACTCACACCCTCTTCCCCACTGTCCATGCTGCACCAGGCCAGGGCTCACACGCCGCCCACCCCGCATCCCACATGTCCCTGGCCTGTGCCCACCACCACACACATCACCTGCACACTAGGTCAGGTCCACACTCCCTCACACGCTTGCGTGCAGGCACCCAACTAGCACAGCAACACGAGCTGGGGAGAATCCTGTCCTGGGCTCCCTGCGGTCCTGGTCCCAAAGGGGGAGTGTGGGGGGCTTCCTGGGGGTCTGGTCGGGGCAACAGTCAGGGTGAGACTGCTGCCCAATCCCAACAGCTTGGGCCCTTAAGATCCCATGGGAGGCAGGAGACCTGCCGTAACACTTGGGCAGCCAAAGAGCAAGAGTCTAGTGCCACCTAGTGGTCCCTGGAGGCGGGCACAAGGGGTAACAGAAGGGGATCCAGGAAGGCCTGGTACTTGGTCTCCCAGCTGGAGAGAGGGCTCTGGCAACCCCCAGGCAGTGAGGGGATGTGAGGAGGTGACGGACAGAGAAGGCGAGGCAGTGCTCCCCTCGGTGGAGCTAAGAACACAGTTCCGCCCCAGTTCAGTTTAGGAACCAGACTGGCTGTCCATCCTCCAGATCCTCAGAGGCCAGGCCCGAACAGATGCAAGGCCTGTGAGGGCCATGTGGGGGCAAGGTGGTGGGCAAGTCACATGATTCTGGGCCCATACCTTTTTTTTGTCTAAGTTCAAAAAATAAATCATCTCAAGGACAGGGGAGAAGAGGAGCCAGCAGGGAGGGAGCAGAATCCCCAGCGGGGCAGACCCGCTCCCAGGGCCTTCAGTCCAGCTTGAATATGGCCTTTGACTGCTTCAGCAGGTACAAGCTGTCCTCTTCCAGGAAGCTGTGAACAAAAAAAGCAGCCCGCTGAAGCCTGGCTCTGACAGCGCCCCCCGGGGGCGGGGTGGGATGAGTGCAGGCAAGGGCAGAGGGCAGAACGGCGGAGAGCTCAGCCTCCCCTATGGATGGGGTGAGGGAGGGCACAAGGAAGGGGAGCCCTGGGGGGGGGAGTAGCACCCACCTGAAAAAGAGGACGTGGACGGGGATGGTGCTGATGTGCCAGATGGCATGGGCGTCCAGGATCCAGAAGAGAGGTGGGAAGTCCAGCAGTTCGAGCAGGGACAGCGCCTGCAGCAGCAGGACCACCGCCACGCACTTGCGCACGTGAGGCAGCCGCTGCTGGTTCCACAAGCACCAGGCGAGCCACCACACCAAGTTCACCAGGCCTGGGGGTGGTGCAGGGTGCGGAGAGCTCACCCCCGGACCTCCTTCTCCCCAGCCCTGCCCTGCCCGGCCGGAGCCTCCTCTATCCCCACGCTCTCTGACCCCAAGATAACCTCAGGCTTTCTCTCCGGCCTCCCCCACCTCTTACCCCAATCATTTCCCTTCCCCACCCAAGGATCTCTCCAGAACCTCCTTCTCCAGGAACAGCACCAGCAGCGCCCCCACCTCCACCCCAAGCCAGCAGTTCTTGAGCTGTTCCAGCCCTCCGGGACCCCGGTCCTGCCTCACCAATTGCCACATTGGCAGCCAGGTTGTAGCCGTAGTCAAAGCGGACGAGGCTCAGGTAGGAGACGTGCGCAGTCAGCAACAGCAGCAGGAGAACCCGGAAGGCACTGGCCACAGCTGGGCGCTGCAGCCCCACGGTCCTGCCCCGCCATGCAGAGCCGCTCAGAGGCGGGGTGGCCCGTGCCCAGCAGCATTCCCTGAGGCATCCCCTCACCCAAACACCAGTATTTGGAAGCCACTGCCCCTCTCCCCAACCGGAACAGGCCAGCGGGACAGGCCTCCAATCCGACCCCCTCCGCGCCAGACCTAGGACCAAGTGCTACAGCTCCTTGGAAAGAGCCAGGGACCCAAGTCCTACCCCAGGTGGCCAGGTAACTCTTTTCTGCCCCCAGCGCTGATCTTGCCCCTGCAGCAGCAGGGCAGGCTCACCTGACACAGCACAGGTAGATCGAGTGTAGGATGACCGTGGAGGCGCAGAAGTAGTCCATTTTCTGAAGACAGGGAGAGTTGGATGAGGGGCCAGGGAGAGGGAGTAGGAGGCGGGTAAGGCTTCATGGAGGACAGGACCCAGAGAGGACCCGGGGTGAAGACCCACGAGGGATGGGGACAAGGAGGGGTGGCAGAGGCACAGCCGGAGTCCGAGGCCTGTGGCCAGTGGGGTCGGTGTCTCCTGCCTCTTCTGCCTATTGCTGTTTCACTTCTGAATTTAACAGGCTGAACCTTCTATTCACATAACACAATTTTTTAAAAACTGATCAAGGGGCGAAGCTTTAGGGGTAATGGGGAAGGATGCCTGCCAAGCCTCCTGAACATCAAAACCTGCCTCAGAATTCAGAGCACAGGCTGGAGTCCACAGCCATGGGCTCCAATCCTGGCTGCACCCCTGTACTGGCTGGGTGATCCCAGGCAGACACCTTCTGAGGCTCTCCTGCCTCATCAGTTAAGAAGGGCCGATAGCCCTGGCCAGGTAGCTTACTTGGTTACAATACACCAAGGTTGCAGGTTTGATTCCCGCTCAGGGCACACACAAAGACCAACCAATGAATGTGTAAGTGGAACAACAAATAGATGTTTCTCTCCCTCGCTCGCTCTCTCTAAAATCAATAAAAATAAATGAAAAGTTGTCTTAAAAAAAAAAAAAAAAAGCCCTTGCCGGTGTGGCTCAGTTGGTTGGAATGCCATTCTGTGAACCAAACGGTCTCAGGTTCGATTCCCAGTCAGGGCGCACACCCAGGTTGTGGGCTCTATCCCCTGCTGGGGTGCATATGAAAAGGCAACCAAATAACGGTTCTCTCACATCCAAGTCCCCCCTCCCAAACCCTGACACCACCCCTCTTCTCTCTTTAAAAGCAACGAAAAATGTCCTGGGATGAGGATAAAGAAAAAAGAAGAGCCAATAATAGTCACACCTACCTCACAAGGGGTGAGTGAGGGTCAAGCGCACGACCAGGTTTACAGTGCCCAGCACAGAGCAAGCGCTCTGGAAGGGGCGGGGTCGGCCTGAGACCCAAGAGCAGGCCCTGCCCATCCCTTGGGAGCAGGAGGGGTGCTCACCTCTGTGAGGTCCGTGTCCCTGGTGTGGAAGACCGTGGACCAGAACCAAGCGTTGAGGGAGACCTGAGGAGGAAGGTGTCTGGTGAGTGTGGCATCCCAAGGTGGGAAAGACCCCCAGAGGCCTCACGCCTGCCTCACTTTTGGGAAGGGACAGAGAAACGCACCTCCCCTTGCTCCTGGAGCCCACTAAGTAAACCTGTGCCCCTCTGCCCGCAGCTGGCCCAGCTCCCTCAGGCTCGGCTTCCCACCCCGCCACCCCCAAGGGGGCGGGGGTCTTGGAGCTTCTACAGGTTTCTGGCCTGGCCTGGGAACCAGTCCTGGCAAAGCCAAGCTCTCCCAGGTTACTCAATCCTAAGACAACAGCCCCTGGGGGGGCCTCGCCTCCTTCCCCAACTGGCAGGTGAGGACAGCTCCACCCGGGCCAGGGAGCCAGTGACCTCAGCCTCTGGGGGCGGGAATGAGGTGGGTGGGGTGGAGGGGCTCGAGCCAGCTTGGGGTGTGTCTGGAGCAAGCAAGGGAGATCAAGCAGATCCCACTGGGGCCACGTCTCAGAGGCGGAGGAGGCCTGCCAGCGGAGCCCAGCTTCCTCCTCGCTGGGCAGGCCCAACCCGCCGGACCAGTGGAGCGCGGGGAGCAGCAGAGGAGCAGGGCTTGGAGGGCAAGGACCCAGGGGAGCAGCTGCTGCCTTCTCCCGGGAAACTCACTGCAAGGAGAGAGTACAGACTGTCTTGCAAATGAGCCCTAGACCTTTGTGGGAGTTGGTGCTGGCACTTTTTTTAGGGACTGCCAATCCACACAGAGGCCCAAATTACTGAAAGAAGGGTGGGCTGGGCGGAGATACAAACGTGGGCTGGGAGGAAGGGCTGGGAAGCCAGTGACAACCATTTAAAGGAAGAAACAGTCAGCCCCAACGCCCTGGAGGTAGGGAGGGATGCACTAGGGTGGGACTGCCCTGCCAAAGATGGAGAAAGGCCAGGAGCGGCTCACTCGGGTCCAGAACACCAGGAACTCTGGCCAGGCAGGGGGCCGGGGGAGCAGGGTCAGGAGCCAGGCTCCATCAGGGACTGCAGCAGGAAGCTCAGCCGCTGGGATGCATCCCCTCACGCAGGCCCAGGCAGCTCCTGAGAGAACGGGAAGGGCCATGGGAAGGGGGCTCCTTGCAAAGCCAGTCAGCCTGTGTGGCCTGGGCCCTGGGCTGAGGCCCGTGGCTTCCGAGCTTCCCACAGGACAAATCAGGGGCTGGCCGAAGCGCTCCTTCATCCCTTCCCAGCCCCAATGACAGGTGATTATTCTAGGTCAGTGCTTTCCCTCTCTGAGGACGGCCATCCTGTCCTATCCCTCGTGTTGCCCTTTCTCCAGAGGCAGTAACGGAGGCGTGATCCGGAGGCTAGCAAAGGGGACGGAACAGGGTGGCGTCTTGGACGATGCCCCCAGAGCCAGCCTGGGGAGCGCACTGGAGACCCAGGTGGTCCTGTGGGCCAGGCCTCCTGGGTGGGCCGGGGCCGGGGCCATCCGTGCAGGGAATGGCCTGGGAGCCAGTGTGGGATGGGGAAGGCAGAAGGGGCTAGATGCCAGCCAGGCCTCCTTGTCATCTGGCAGGAAGGGGAAGGCGACAAAAAGACGGGAGCTAAGTGGCGGTTGGAGCACTGAAAGCAGGGGTGGTTGTACAGGGCCTGGGCCTGGCTCTAGGGCACAGGGGCAGCGGTGCTTGGTCCCCTGTTCAACTGCCTCTGCAGCCCTGAAAAGTCCCCTCCCCACTGGGTTGTATCCCATTATGGGGGGCTCCTCTTCTGACCTTCTCCTCGTCCCAGGAGATGGTATCATTAAAAATACAGCCCTGGTTGGTGTGTCTCAGTGGACTGGGCATCGGCCTGCAGGCCAAAGGGTCAGCAGTTTGATTCCCAGCCAGGGCACGTGCCTGGGCTGCGGGCCAGGCCCCCAGTTGAGGGCACGAGAGAGGCAACTGATCAATGTATCTCTCACACATTGGTGATCCTCTTCCTCTCTCTCTCTCCCTTTCCCTCTCTCTAAATAAATAAATAAAACCTTTAAAAACAATGGAGACCCTAGGGCCAGACCTCCAGGGTTCAAATCCCAGCTCTGCATTTTCTATGTGTCCTTGGGCAGGCTATTTAGCCTTGCTGTGCCTCAGTTTCCTCATCTGTAAAATGCGAATAATCCTCATGTCCCCAAGGGTTTGAGGAGGACTGCGGGGGGGGGGGGCACAGTGCACCCCTCCCACCCTGGCCCCTGTGCGGGTCGTGTGGTAAATCAGCAGGCACTGTTTTTTCCCACCTTGTTCACGCCCATGGGGCCCTCCCATCTCTCCGCCGACCAGAGGCCAAGTCTGCCTCCCACGCTGCCTGCAGGCCAAGGAAGCCTGCAAGGAGGAGAAGAGGCGGTCTCCCCCCAGCTGCCCAGGCCCAGCCCACAGTTTCAGACTGGGGATAGACTATCTGGAGCCTTTACGAAGAGATGGACCCTTGGTTCAGGTTCTGACTTAGCCCCTTAATAGCTGTTGGATCGTAAGTAACGGCTTTCCTGCGCCTCAGTCGCCTCACCTACAACACAGGCTTAGTAAGAGTGCCCGCTGTCCTCTGCTGACACCCCAGCAAGGGAATCAGGCCCAGGACCAGAGAGCCTTCCGCCGGGCTGGCCCCGCCGTGCAAGGAAAAGCTTCAACTGCCACAGGATCCTTCATCCAAAATGGTGATTCTTGGATCTTTCGTCTCACTGTGATCTGCCACTCAGCTTCCTTCTTGCTGAGGGGGGTGGGGGTTTGTCCCCCCCCCCCCCCCGCAGAGGAGACCAGGACTGCTAGTCACTCAGTTCTCGCATGTTTACTTTCGGTAGGCAATAGGCTCACTGAGAGAATTGTTTCTATGTACTGTATATTTTGTGCTTGTTTGCACCTCTAAGTGTTATAACTGATATTTTGAAAAACAAATGAAGAGGAAACGCCCTGTTAAGTAAAACCTAACTAGCACCGAGGGAAAAAAAATAATAGTAGTCCCTGTCTAAGAGGGTTAGGAGGATACCTGCGAAATGCTTGGCACAAAGAAGCCACTCAGCAAATGCTTGCTGCTACTGCTGCCTGGTAAGCAGTAGGTGCCACATACATGTCAGTTTCCTCCATCATGTCCAACAGGCCAGCCCCACACCGGGTCCCTTTACCTGATCCCACTTTCCTCTTCCTCAAGGGTCACAATGTACCAGGCCAACCATGAGTCCCTTGAGCCTAGAACACGGGCTCCTCAGCGACAGGAAGAGCCCCTCCCCCTCTCTCCTGAGCTGCTGTCCCACCAGGATGCGCTGAGGAGATAATGGTTCCCTTCACTCGGTTTGTAACCAAGGCTCCCGCGAAGCGGGCAGAGGGACGTGGAGGGAAGGGAAAGTCCCTAAGATGCGCCTGGGCCCTGAGTAGAATGGGAGGCAGACGGGGTAACTGGCCAATCAGACGGACCAAGAGGACCATGGGCTTGCCCAGCTGGCGCCCAGAACTCCTTGTAAACACTGAAGAAAGGGGGAGGCCACGGGCGGGGTGCCAGTGCGGGTAGAAATGAAGGGGGACCGGGAAGGCTGGGTGGAGGGGAGTGGGAGGCTGCTTCAGTGTGTTGGAAAATAAGAAAATTGAGACAAAAATATCACAGCCGTGAAACTAGCTGGATGCCAAGTGAGCCAGATCTGTCAGGAATTCGACCCCTGTGCTAAGCCCTAGTGCTCGGGGCTGTCACTGACACCGTGGCGGTGGGGACAAGTGGGTCTTTAAATAGCTCAGTGTCTCAGAAGTGGGGGAGGCAGAATGTTAAATATGATGCCTGCTGCCATCCTGGGCCCCCCCAGAGGCCACGGTGTCTCGCCCGCTGCCTCACACACAAGCCTGCCCGGTGCGCTCCTGAGAGAGACGAGGGAGAGGAGGTGGGCTTTTTGCACCATTCAAAGGGACTCATGGGTTTCCTGCTATTGACTGTTTCACCAGCTCTTGTCTGACTACTGGGAAGTCCTTCCTAAAGTCTAACCATCATCCTGCTGCAGCCTCTAATGATCTCTTCTTGAAGTCTCCTCAGCAGAGGCAGAGCACAGTCGGTCCCCACCCCCACAATCATGCCACTGGGGCTCTCCTGGCGCCCTTGTGCTCTCGCCTGCACCCGAGGCCTCTCCTTGCTGGAAGGGGGGGCCAGGAGCTGGCTTGGCCTCCTGGCTTTGGCAGAGAGCAGGGCTCCCCAGTTCCACAAAGTCAAAGGTCCATGGTGTACAGAGCTTTGGCAGGGTCCCCCAAAGCCTGGCCGCTGCCCGGCTCAACCTCAGGCCTAAAGGTCAAAGCTGCCTTAGTCCTGCTGGGGGTAGGGTCTCTCCATTTCCCAAAGGAAAAGACTGAGACAAACCCCTCCCCCAACCCCAGACCTACAGGGGAGCAGGTGAGAGGCCTCCCTACCCCGCCCCAACAGAAACCAGGAGCCCCTCTGTTTCAGGAGACGCAGCCCAGGACAAAGTCCACTGCCACACCCTCTGTACAGGCAGGATCCCTCCCTCCTGCAAACACACACAGGACGAGAAAGCAAGTGTAAAATCCAAACTGGATCACCAAAGGGAGCGTGGACACGGATACTCTGTCCCTCAAGGGCCTAGTGGTGGCATGAGAGGGTTCCATGTCCCAGAACACACCCTGTAGGGCGCCCTGAGACACAGCCCTAGGTGTCTGCCTCTCCAGCCTAACAGCTCCTGTTCTGTCCCTGAGGGTCCTCGGATACCTCTGGGAAGTGTGACACCCACCAAGAAGGAAGCTGAGTGGCAGAGGACAGTGAGATGAAAGATCCAGGAATCAGGGTGATGAAGACAAGGGTTGTGAAATGCTCACTGGCTTCTGGCACGTGGCAGGAAGATGAAGGCCGGGGCCCTCTGAGGCCCCCTCTGACCCCCGGGTCCATCCAAGGAGGCTCCGAGCTGTGTTCAGAGAGTTCAGGCTGGGCTGTCCTATGCTCTCGGTTAAGGGCAAGGGCCGGGGGCGGTGCAGGCATTGGGCCTGGACAAGCAGTATCCCTGGAAGAACCCCAAGGGAAAGGGGACCATTGTACCCCCTTCAACATCCCTGTCCTTCCTGCTCTCTTCGCCAGGACCGTAACCCCTTTTCTGTGAGAGGCCTCAACAGGAAGTGGCGGCTCTGGCCCACCCAGGCCTGGGACAGTGCATGCTGATGCCAGGCCCCTGCCTCCACCACCGTCCCTGACCCTCAGCTGGCACTCGGGCCCCTCTCTGCCCCATCTTCGCTCCCTCTGCCCCCAATCACACAGCCGCACAGTGGCCAGGTCGGCCTCCCCAGGCTGCCCGTCGAGGTCCTGAACCCTTCAGGGACCTATCTGTTTTCCTGCTGTGCCCCCAGCCGGGAAAGCTGGGACCCAGCCTCCCCTCCCGCATGTGGACCTGTCCGGGGCTGACCAGGCCTGCAGGCCTATCTTCCTCCACGGCTTCCCTGACAGGCTTCTCCACGTGGTCTCCCCAGGCGTGACTCCCAGGCTCTCCACCCTCGCCTCGCCGCGGCTCTGCCCCCATCTGCCCCTGGGCTCGGCTTCTGGGGCCGGGGCTTCAGTCCCCACAGTGCCAACCCCTGTCTCTACCCATGGCAAATGCTCAGCCAACATTTGTCCCAGTCCATGGAGACGGCCTGGGAGAGGGACTTAGTGTGGGGGCCCCTGAGTCAGGCAACCCTGGACGCCAACCTGTCGCTACTATTCACTGACTCAATGGCTGGTAACTTTAGCCCAAGTTTTTCCTTATAGCGTTATTAGGATTAAACAAGAAAACATGGGTAAAAGTATTCAGGACAATGTTCATCACATGATTTTTGTTCCATAATTCCTAACAATTATTATTAATTGTTGGTTGAATGGACCAAGTATTAGTGAGGATCAGCCTTTCCCAGCTGCTTAACAGCCCCCTTCCCGCCCTCCTTCTGGGGCTCAACCCGGACGTCTCACTCTCACACGCTGCCCCCCACCCGGTTGTCACAGAGCAGATCTGTACCCAGTCCATGCTGCTCACACAGAGCCCAGCCCTGGGTGCTGGCTCTTCCGACCAGTCACACTGTGAAGCTGAGAGCCCTCTCTGGATACTCAGATGGGACATATTTCGGCTTCCCCTCCCAGATGGTCTAAGACCAGGCTGAGCTCTAGGTGTGCTGTGGGTGCTACTGCGCCCAGGCCTGGGCTGTGGTTGAGGCAGCTTCAAGCTTGCCAGAGGGGCCCTCGGAAAGGCACGTGGTTTCAGCAGGCTCCCTATCACCCATCTCCCTTCTACCTTTGTAAATTCCCCTATTAGGGCTTTTAGCGACTTCCTCCTTCAGGACAAGAACAATGCTTTCTCCCTCCCGAAAAGCCTGGCCTAGGACTCTGCTAGGGAGGGAAGGTCCCATTCATCACCCTCCCTTTTGTCTTCCCAGGCCCGACCACCCTGCGACTGCAAGCTTGGCCCTGGGAAACAGAGGGGAAGTTCAATGCGTGGAAGCCCTGTAAGGCAAGAGTGGCGACTGAAGAGTGCCTCTGTCCTAGGTGAGGGTGTGAGCAGGAATCCTGCCAGGTTACCTACCCAGGCAAAGGCCATGCAGGTGGGGTACATAGGAGAGGAGGCTGGGACAAAGGTGCGGTAGCGACAGAGCATCATCAGGCTGGCCAGGCCATTGAGGAAAGAGGCCGCAGCAGACGCCGGCTCTTGGAAGAACAGGAACCGGGAAAAGGGCCACTGAAAAAGAAACAGATGGAGGGGCCTGAGGGGTCGGCACCCCCAGCTGGCCCAGCCTGTCTTCTCTTGACTTGCTGCCTCAATAGGTCCTCAGCAGGTTCCTCAGCTCCGAACCCGACCAAAGCCTCGGGTTCAGTCCCTCTTTGAGTCAACGAGCGCCCCTCCAGGCCCTGGCTGAGGGCCATCCCTCTGTCCTGGCTGCACTCAGCTCTGTAAGCCTGGTCTCTGGGAAGACCATGTGGGCCAGTGTAGATGGCTCAGAGTGGCCTGGTGGGAACAGCATAGATCTGCCATCCAGAAGACAGAGGCCCTATCCCTCCCCTACCACTGACCACAGCGCTCTGAGCGAGCCTCAGCTCTCTCTGTGATACATTGGGGAGAATAGTTCTTGCCAGCAACAGGCTGGAACAAGATCATATTGGATCAAAAGGCACCAGCCAACGGTGCCTCGCTAGGCAACCTGAGGGGTATTACTATCTTAATCCAGATTCCCACTGAAGGAGCATCAGGGAAGATGCTGCGGTGGGTTGGGGAATATGTCCTTGTATCAAGCTGGGCATCCAACACCCCTAAGAAGCCCAGCACTACTCTCCGAGGAGACCCTAGATCTTAATCCAAATCCAGAGCAGGACACTGTGGTCCCATGTGATTCCCATATGAAAACAAGCAGGTTTTGAGAACAGGCATCTGCCCCAAATACATACTCATTACTGCATACTTCAGATTGTGTGGTCCAACCAGGAGGCATCTTACTCCTGCCACACTGCCACCTACCCTGACCTTCCAACTCACCTTGCCATGGAACTGAGGCACTTCATGACCTTCTTGGAGGTAGATGTCAACGGTGACCCACATACACTCATACTTACAGTCATCCTGACAGGTCCAGCCTGAAACAGATAAATTGGCCTAGTCAACTACCCAGGAGGGAGGCACAGAGAGAGCTCGAATGTGGCCCAAACTTCGGTGCAGGCCAAGAGGGTCTGCAAGTTGAGAGAACCAGAGGTCTCAAAATTCTCATTTCCCACTTGGACGGATAAGAGATGGTGGGACATACGCAATCAAGGAAGAGGTCTGTGTGTGTTCTAGGGGGTGGAGGTATACTGTGAGCAAATAGAGATGTTTCTTTTCTTCTCCTTTCACCCAAGATGAGGATCTTGGCATCTGACGGACTCATTTATGGATACCTGGGTTTATATTTGTCCTTCCTGAACACAGGATTTGTTCTCACTTATCAGGGAGGAATACTTGCTGTCTTACCCTCTCCCATAAAAAAATAAAATAAAGAGCAAATTCTTCAGTCTGAGTTTTAAGGCCCCAAATTTATTTCCCAACTTTATTTCCCAATACTCCTTTTCATGCACCCTGTTCCCTGAGTAAACCAGGCCTTCGTATGTGCCCACAACTGCCCAGGACCTCCACTCTGGCTCGACTGGAAAGGGATTGTTAGGCTTGTAAGTCAATACAGGTCAGAACTGGAAACTACATTACCACTTACTGGCTCTGTGATTTTGGGTAGGCCGAGTTCCCCACCTATAAAATCAGAATCTACCTCAAAGTGTTGTTAAAATTGACTATTTTGACACCTGTCACACAGGAGGTGACCTCTAGGCCACAAGTCCAAATTTAATCTATCTATCTGGAAGCCCTTCCTTCTCAAAATGTTCTATGATTGCTGTCCCCAAACCCACAAAGCTATAAACGATTCCTTTCTCCCCTACATCCTCCTATGGCTTAACCTACAGATCCTTTAGGGCTCGAATCATCCTCTGCCCTGCACTTGAGAAATTTCGTCCCCCATGTGGACTGTGAGCCTCGAAGGGCAGGACCCTGGTCTAATTTCAGTGTCATACCAGAAACCTCTACCCAGAAGTATTAAATATCCGCTTGACTGAAAAAAATAAAAGTAAATGAAATTTCCTGGGAAAATAAAACTGGCTGATGGCCTCTCATTACCCTGGGGCTCCACTCACTCTCACAACGGATCCTGGGTAGGAAACTAAGTAAGGTTCAGAGGTTGCAGATGGGTATTTGGGGGCGAGAGAGGCGCAGACGGGTGTTTGGGGGCGAGAGAGGCGGGGCCAAGGTCAGGGGCGTGGCTTACAGGGCGGGTTTACCTGCTAGGCTCATGTAGATTGGTTGGCGGGAGCGGAAGTGCTTCAGTGCGTCCCCTGAGCAGTTCCGCTTGTCGCACTGGAGTACGCAGTCGCGGTAGACCGGCTCGCGGTCGCCCTGGGAGCAGTGGGCTATCGCGGCGACCCCGGCTAGGAGCACCAGCCGCGCTGTCCGCCCGGCCATCGTTCCCTTTGGCCCTCCGCCGGCGGAGAAGCTTAGGAGTCTCCACATCCGGAGTAAACGGAAGTGCCTTGGTTCTCTACTTTCTCCGCTGACGTCTCCTGCGTTTTGAAAGTACCCGGATTTTCCTGGGCGTCTGCCCCGCCCCTTGTTTTAGTGTCATCCCCATATATAGAGGTGACAGGGTTAAGGGAAGGAGGACTCCAGGTGGATTAAGTCGCAAAGTAAAGTGGTCTTTTATAAAAACGTTTTGTTTCTTCCCCAGGGTGTCTGTTTGAGATAGGGCTAATTTTCTGTTACCCGTCCTGTTGGATATATACCCGTACCTCTCTCGATCTCCTCTGGCACCACCACCCTGGTTAAAGACATCATCTGTCGCCGAGGCAGCCTCAGTAGCCTCTGAACGTGTCTCCCCGCCTTTTCTATCTCCCTCCAGTACGTGCTCCATTTCCAAAATTTCAAATTTGACCATGTCACTTTCCTTCTTAAAATTCTTAACCGGGTCCCAATACCTCAGGATAAAGTATTCCGCAAGCTCTGCACGATTTGGCCCTGCTCACTGGTCTCTGTCACTCCCCTGCCCCCGACCTGCGTCATGGGAACACGTCTAGCCTCCTGGCTTTGTCTCGTTTGTACCACTCTTTACTCTCACTCCTTTTTATTCTGCTATTCTCAATTTAAACACCGCTTCTGAGGGTGGTAACACCTGGAGAGTGCTAGAACATGCAGTGGTCTGTTTTCCCCAGGCAGGGTGGGGACCCCTGCTGTCTTGTTTACCACTCCACTTCCAGTACTAGTACATGATTTGGTTCCTGGTAGACGCTAAGAATTTTTTTTGTTTGTTTTAATGAATGAACAATGTAATTACATGTAAAACTTTGGGTGCCAAACCCAGGGCTGTGAAATCACCAGCATGATTCAGACCACGCTGAAAATAGGAGAGGTGTAATATTTTAAGGAAAATTAAGAGGAGGACCTTTAGGAATACGATGCTTGCTTTAGCACCCCCTGCTACACTACCACTAGGACGCTTGCGTGCACATACATCTCACTGAAGCATGGAAGCCTTGTAGTTAGATGCATAATTAGTATGTGTAGATTAATGACTGTTGCCTGTTCCCCTACTCTCTTCACTCCTGGTCAACTTTTTATCTTGGGAGGTGAAATGAGCAGGAAGTAAAATTGGATTCCATTCATTTACACATTAAGCAACATTTCCTGAGCCCTTAGCTCTAGCACCACTCCAGGCAAGGCACAACTCCAGGAGGCACCATTCATATTGTATTTTCTGTGAATTGTTCCCCTTGCAGTTAAGCATAACACCAATAGTGTCTCCTGGAGTTAACAATGACTGCTACTGATGGGGAAGCTGAAATAAACAAAACAACTTCGCAGCGCCTCCTGGAGCTGATCAGAAACAATCAGGTGCTAATGCTACTTAGCCTCTGCTAGATCAGTCCTTTTATAATACATTATTTCATTTAGTCTTTATTATAACTCTGGGATGAATGCTTGTTTGAGGAAATATAGGATTAAAGGAAATGAGATCCTCACGAAGCAGGATTCTCCCTTTGAGAGAACTCCAAGTTAGCTATAAGGCTCTTTTAAAACACTTTCGAGTTTCCAATTTTGGAGACCTCATTTTATACTATATAAAATACATTAATACAATGCGGCACTATCTCACATTAAATAAAACTTAAAGGTCTGGCCAGGTAGCTCAATTGGTTGGAACATGATCCCAACAGGCGCTGGTTGCAGGTTGTCAGGGCACATACAAGAGACTACCAACGGATGCGTGAATGAGTGGAACAGCAAGTCAATGTTTCTGCCTAAAAGTCAGTGACTGAAAATAAATAAACAAGTAAAACTGATAAATAATTATATATAGTTGAGTTGCTGTTAATAGTCAACATGTTATCCTGACCAGATGGCTCAGTTGGTTGGAGCAGTGCCCCATACACCAAGTGGTCACAGGTTTGATTCCCAGCTGGGAAACATATGGGAGGCAAGCGATCAATGTCTCTCTCTCTTTGTCTCTCCCCCTCCTCTCTAAAATCAATGAACATATTCTTGGGTGAGGATTTTTTTTAACTCGACATATTGCTATATTTTATATACATTAATAAAATATCAGTATATTTTTATTATATTTTGGAGCTAACATTAAAAATTAGTTTAGGTCTCAGACATTTCATAGGTTCTTGAAAATTCATGCCTATATGTCTGATGGAAAAAAACAACCCAAGGGTCGAGTGGAGGGAGAAAGTGGAGACGTCTGTCATGTTGTACTTGTGGGAAATGCAGTGTTGTTTCTCTAGGACATCTCTTGGGGGTTTTCCCTCTCAACACATTGTCTCTAGACAATTACACCAGACCTCTTCCTCTCCCAACTTTTCATCCCAGGACCACCTCTTCTCCACTGAGCACCTTTTTAGCTTAATCTGCTTCCTAACTTGTATTCAGCCTCCTTTGTGAATCACAGCCTGCAAAGGTATCAATTCATTCCTTCAACTCAGGCTATTAAGCCCTACTGGGTGTGAACCATTGCACTAGGAAAAGGAAAGATGGATCAGAAATGGTTCCCAGTCTAGGGTGGAAAAAGACAAAGCAAACAGTTCAGTGTGCTGAAGGCTCATAGGCAAACTGACTATATTCTCAGAACAAAAATTAGGGGACAGTCTACAATGAAGATTCTTTATTCATCAAATATTTATTGCAGTTTACCATGTGCAAGGCTCTAGAGACAGAGATGAACAAGCACTGTCCTCATCATCAGAGAAGGTAGACAAGCCAATAACAAGTATCAAACAAAAGACTTAAGATAATTTCACTACTAATGTAGGATAATTTAGCACTATCAGACAGACTATAAATTACACATACCACTTAATCTGACAATTTGCACAAATCCTCTAACCAGCAATTTCTCTTCTAGGTGTACCTACACAAGGGCAAAGTGGTATAAGCACAAAACTATTTTGGCAACATTGTTATTTTCAACAGAAAAAGACAAACAACTCAATGTACATTGGTAGGGAATGAATTACATTAATTGAGAAAGATCCATACAATTACAATGCAATGCCGAACAGAAATTAATGAGAAAGAGGCAGATTTGTAATGTACTGACATGGAAAAACCTTCATATTCTTGATAAATATGAAAAGTGAGATGCACAACAGTGTATGTGAGGGCACGTGTGTTTATACATGTTAATGTGAAGAAAAATAACTGTATATTATGTTATTTTAGAGAATATATCTAGACAGATACATAAGAAAGTGGAAATAGTTGTTGCCTCTGAGGAGAAGTGAGGGATACTTTTTACTCATGTACCTTTTAAATGTACCACCTGTATATATCAGCAATTAAAGAAAAGTGTTAAAAGAACAAGCATTGAATTATCTAATTGGATAAGGTTAATAGCGAGGGAAAGAGAGTAAGGGAATGGGAGGGAGGGAGAGGCTACCTTGGGTGGTCAGAGAAAGTCTTTTTGAGAAAGTAACATTTGAGCTGAAACCTGCAGGACCAGAAGGAACCTGCCCTGCTAACACCTCCGGGCCCATTGTTGGAGGAGGAGGGCGGGGAGTGCAAAGGCCCTAAGGCAGGAACCAGCTTAACGTCTTTGAAAAACACAAAAAGAAGGTCAAGGTGAAAGGTTTAGGCAAAGGGAAGCCATTGAGAGGTGTTTTCACAATTAAGCTAATTAAATGATCTCATTTTTATTTAAAACATTTACTTTGGCTGTTGTGTGGAGGGAGGCGGGATCTGGGGGAGGGACTGTAAGGGGACCGGAGCAGCCCGGGGGGAGGCTGAAGGCCACACCGCTTCCATCCAAGGACGACTGATGACAGCTGAGATTAGCTGGTGGTGGCCTGAGAAAAGTATGGATGTATTGGAAGAGGAATTGATAAATCTTACAGAAGGATTGGCTGCAAAGGGCAAGGAGAAAGAGGGATCAGCCACATAGTTTCAGTGAATAAATCATTTGAAACCAGCCCTGCCCACCTGATCCGGCCTTCATGATTGCTCTAGCTTTATGCTTCTGGAAGCTTACTAGTGTTGGGGCCCGGGAAACTTCCCCCTGCCCTTTTAGTTCTTCTGGCTGATCAAACAACTCAAAAGACATAGGGCAGATTAACAGAAGAAAAACCGCATTTTAATATGTGCTCACAGGGAATTCACATAAACGTGGACAGTCCAAAGACAAACGGGCAAAGTGAGGTATACATGTCATTTTGGCCTAAGGAAGAGGAGGTAAGCAATTCATAGGTAAACAAAAAAGAGCAAACATTCAGTAAACAAATTCAGGGCCACCTAGAAACAATGGACGCAGAGGGTAATCTAGAGAACAGATTTTTGCCCGACCCTCCCTGCCTGCCACACTTCATTCATACATGCTAAGGTGATTCTGCTAGGGTTCCCTTCCTGAAGCAGTGTTTTCTATCTTAATCTCTTTAGGCAGGTAAGGGGGAAGTTAAAAACAAACAAACAAAGCAAACGACAACAACAAAACTCTTCCTGAGGTTGTTGGGCTTTAACTGTTTTCGGCTCAAAACAATCTGCCCGTCAGGGTGGGCTGCCCTGGGGAAACTTGCTCCAGACCCTCTCTTCCTCAGACCGAAACCGAGAGAGGCAAGTGTGTCCTCATTCGCAACCCCAGGGCTCTGTGTATTCAGCAGAAGGGGAATGAATGAGCTTGGGGTCCTGAAGGGCTAAATGGAGCAGGAAGAAGCAATGTTTGTGAAACAAGGAATTTTTAATTTGGCAGAGCAACGATGGTTCGCAGGGCTTGTAAGGGGTAAGCGTGGAGTTCTGAAGGGGTCACTGCCCCCCACTCCAAGTCATAAAACAAGGTGACCAGGAACCATTCAATCCAACCCTTTTGTATTTCAGACAACAAAGCAAAGCCTCACATGAGGCCACACAGTCCAGCCCTGGCTGGTGCGGCTCAGTGGATCGAGTGCCGGCCTGTGAACCTAGGGGTCACTGGTTTGGTTCCCAGTGAGGGCGCATGCCTGGGTTGTAGGCCAGGTCTCTGTGGG